TGTTCCCCCTCACCATGTGTGAGCCAAGCTCTGACGGCTGCTTGGAGTCTACCCCGTAGGGGCTCTGGGGGTACCACCAGAACCTGGGGACCAGAGCTGGCAGCTCAGAGCCGGCTGTTTGTTCAAATGAGAAAAGCAGTCATGGTTGCCAAGTTTGTCCTCTTGCCTTTGCCTGACTTCATCTAAAGCCACTGATGGAAGGGGACGCCCTTTCCAGCCAGCATCTGTGGCTTCCCTGGTGACCCCCGCACTGTCCTGGGCCTGTGCATCAGTATGGCAGAGCCCCCAGCCTGAGGTGCACACTTCCCAGGTCTCTTAGCCTGGCAGAGGTTACTGCCTGCTGGTAACCCCAAGGCCTGTGTGTGTGAACCCTGGAGCCAGAGCTCATGACTGGCAGTGCTGCTAAGCCCTGCTCCCTGCAGCTCTGTCCTGTCCTTGGTTCCCTGGCAGAGGGATTCAACATGGAATACATGCACTGAAGGGGGCCCTGGGAGTTGGGACAGGAGCTGTTCTCCCGGGAGGCAGTTCTAAGGCAGGAGAGGGGAGAGCCGGCCTCAGGGCCGTCACAGCCCCGCTTCTCTGCTGGTGCTGGCCCGGGAGGGCTGGACAAGGCCTCGCTATAGCCGGATCCCCCAATGAGCTATGTCTTCGGGCTCTCACACACCCTGGCTTCAGGCATTCCACAAAGCCCACGGGACTGGGAGCTTTCGTCCCTGCTCTGGTGTGGACACTGTGGTCTGTTACCTTCTGGCTCCACAGTTAACTCAACTGTGGTTGAGGCAGTTAGCAGTCCCAGAGACAGTTTTCAGGGAGGTCGGGCCAGAGCTCTGTGAAGGGAGATTACTGAGCCGCCCATGCGGGGCAAGCTGGAGGCTGATGGAGCTTCCTGGCAGGGGCCATGCTGACCCACAGACAGCCCCTCTGGGAGGGTGACCCCTCGCGAACCAGGCCTCTGCGTTACGAGCCTGCGCTGGCCAGTCATTCCACCTGCAGATTTTACATGGCACAACTTCAGAGCCGACCAGAGTGGTCCGTATCGCTCTCATCCCAGCCTCCTGAATACTCCGCGGTTGACTTGCCTTCAGAAAACGTCTGCCTTGCCTGATCAAGCGTTGAAAGTGACCAGGTTTGCTGTGGGTCAGTCAGCATGTGGCTGAAGGAGTTGGCCTTTGGGGACGCCAGCAAGGTCCTGGCTTGTCCCAGGTCTGTTGGTTACTCCGCCAGCTCCCCACGTCCCTGGCCCCTAGTACTTGTCAAAAGGCACTTGTGTGCGGTCATTCCAGACTGTCCGCTGTCGTCCTGCTCACAGCACCTGTGTGAAACAGCTCATTCAGCCTGCCGAGCAAGTGTGCTGATGTTTGCCTTGCCAGCTGACTTTCCACTGGGGTGAAAGGCCTGACTAGGTCATGCTGTCCCCTGGCCAGTGACCCCCTTCTGCTCCCTGACCCCCAGAGAGCCGGGACCTGTAGGCTTGCTCCTCTGTAGCTGCCCGCAGCTGTGCGGGCTCTACGTGCACGCGTGGCCTGCCGGGTGGTGGCAGCCTCCGTGTTAGCTCACAGGCCGGTTCAGGTGCTTCCGTGTGTGTGCTGTTAGCTCTGGCCAGCGATTCCTCCGTTGCCTTCATGTGGTTTCAGACATCTTAGCACATTCTTAGGATGCCCACAAAGGCCTTTATGTAAAAACTCATAAATACAAACCACATCAAAATTATTTTTTTCCTTGCTTCATGTCATTATGATCAAAGGACAGTAGGTAAGAACAGATTTTCAGAAGGCCATTACGGTCCCGCTTTAATGAACGCCTCACGTGCCGAGGAGCAGCGTGAACGTGCGCTGGAGGGGCCTGTGTACACCTGCAGCTGCTACCCACTCCCACCCGAGGCTGCTGCTTCCACTCGTTCCTGGACTGCAGGTCCCTTCTTGAGTGGCTGTGCTGGGTGGCCTGTCCCCACAGGGCCAAGTCTCAGCTTGTTCTGTCTTACCTGGCAGGGAGCTCCTACCAGAAGGAATGGCTCACAGGTGACTTCCTGGAAGTCGGGGCGGCTGAGGATTAGTGGGCTGCATAGTGCAGGCCTGCCCCCGTTGCTTCGAACCGTGGAGGAAATTGGGGCTGCACAGAGGAGCTCTCAGGTGCTGTGCCAGGAGTGCAGCGTGACCCGGTGCCTGCCTGTGCCCGAGGTTACATAAAACAGCATCTGGACAGGGAGTTTGGAAAAGTTCACCGTGGCAGGATAGGTTATGGATGGCGTTGCTGGCTTGTAAGTTTCGTTTTTCATAGGTCCTTGGTTTCCGGAAAGTCCGTCCACAGGGAGGACGCAGTGAGTCTGTGTTTCTTCTCATTTGTCTCTTGCATTTTGAAACTTCAGACCTGGTCCACGTGGCCCGAGGGGAAGCCAAAGGTGCCGGGAAGGAGCCCTTGGAGCAGGCGTCAGACCTGGGGCGGGGGCTGGGGAGCAGAAACGGCCAGTTTCACTTCATTCCCTTGCTTTCCTGTGAGTAGGATGGGGTATGTGGGGGAGTGAGCACCTGGGTCATGGGTGCTGCGCGCCACCAGCTGCCATTCCCCAAGAGGGGCTGCCAGGCTTCCCGGGCCCCTCTGAGTTCGCCTCCAGGGCAGCCTGACCCTGGGACCCCCCCAGGTGCAACGCAGGGGCACAGGAGAAAATACGTGAGCTCCAGCCTTTGTTCCAGAATAGCCCAGGGAAAGGCGGCACCCCAACCTGTCCTTTCCAGCACAAGAAAAGCTGTGGTTTTTCAAGTTTTTCACTCTTTTGATGTGGGGCACTTGCTCTACCAGCAGACTGGGAAGGAGCCAGGCTGCCTCTCCCAGGCAGGGAAGGCCTTGGCAGCTCTTCCGTGGGCCACCCATGCCCGCTCCTTTGTTACCTTGTGACCCCAGCACCCCAGTGAACAAGCCGGCGGGGCCCTCATCTGGAACTGACCGATCGTCGCAGCCCCGTGGAGTCTGGCAAAGTGGCTATTGTGTGCCAGCTCCCTACAGGCCCTGACTGCTTCCCTTGCCTTGCTCTGGGGAAGGCTAGCCTCAGGAGAGAGCTGGAACAGCGGTAGCCATCGTGCAGGTACGGTCCCTGGTGCCCACTGTTTGCTGCAGATGAAGGATGCCCTGTGCTCTGAGCCCTGCGTGTGTGTCTGTCCCCTCATTCAGGTGGTACTTCCCACTTGCTGTTGTCTCACCAACACGTGGCCCAGCTCAGCCCCTTGAGACCTGCAGCTGCAGATGCTCACAGCGTTGCCTGCTCTCCCTGCTGCCTGCCGCGTGGGGGCACTGGTGGGCCTGCAGGGGAGGACTGGCAACCGGCAGCCTGAAGAGTGAGCCCCCTTGAACGCTGCATGGGTTAGAGGCAGAACGTGCCGGAGCTGGGGCCCCCATGTTGTGACCGTGGTCCCGACAGTCCTGGTCTCATCATGCTGTAGCTACAGCTTGCATCTAGCAGGTGCTGCCTTTCCACAGTTGAAGTAGTGTTACGTAAGGTAAACGGCGCCCTCAACCTTTGATCTCAGGACACATGGGCTGCCACCAGAATCTGCAGGGGCTCAAGTTCCTTCCTGAAAAGAGCAGTGTGTTTGCTCACAACCTATACACATCTGGCAGGGGACTCGGTAAACCGTCTCAAGGTGACGTGGCCTGACACGGTGCAGAAGACGTGTTCGCCTCTGTGCTGCGTTGTTCAGGCAATGATGGCAGGAAGATCATATGTGTTGCATTCAGTTATTGTCTTTGTCCTGGATGCATCTGGTTGTGGGAGGCCAAGTCCGAGGATAAGAAGTGGCATCTGTGACACGGAGGGCCTCTGTGCCTACCTTGGCATCCCTGGGGCCGGGAGTATCATCGTAACAGCTCTTTTGAGACACAGTTCAGACACCTGCTGCGTTTTAGCCTTCCACTTGACTGGTGAGCAGAGCCGTCCTTTGTCCAGGGTCTGCTTCCCTGTTGATGGTTGATTTACTTCTCCTTTTTGTTGATGCCCACGTTCACCCAGCTGGCCCTCCAGCAGCACTTAGCAACCCCCTGCTGGGCAGACAAGGACATGCTCAAGAGCTTATGGGTGGGATGCTACAGTTGGGGCCAGAACCCCACTGTGGGCCCTGGGGCAGACCTGCCCACTGGCTGGGTCCGAGGTCCTGTGCATCTGTAGATGCTCTTGTGGCAGCCTCTGGAACAGAGGTGGGAAGTGCCCAGTCCACGGCCCGCAAGCCGTGGAAATCCCACAAACAGACTTTGAGCATCAGTCGAGGTGGACAGTTTTGTGTGGCCTGCAAATGATGTTACGAACACCCAGATGACCCTTGGCAGGAGAGAGCTCCAGGCTGTTCTAGAGTGGTGTTGGTGCTGTGGGACTGAGAGAGGGTCAGAGAGGCCATTGGGCATTGCGCCGAAGACTGTGCTGACCACGAGAGGCGGGAAGACCCAGGACCACCACCCCACAGCCTCCCCACAGCATCCTGATGGGCCGCTTGGAATCCCACCAAGTCTTAATTCTCTGCTCTTTACTTTTTCTTGTCCATTTTGTTCTTGATTGGGGATTTTTCCCTGTTGATTCTGATGGGAAGAGGAAGTCCCATTCTAGGCTCAGCCCTTGGTTTGTGGTGAGGGTTCAGAGCCTTCCTTTGGCTCTGGAGAAGTTGGGTGCTGTGCCATTTCCCTTTGTCCTGAAAAGAGTTACCCATCCCAGATTGTGGGAGCCGGAGCAGGGCGACTGACCCAGCAGCCATGGCTGCCTTGGCTGCCTGCTGAGGTCCGGCACTGCACTGGAGTATGAGCCCTGAGAAGATGGTAGGCATGTCAGAACCCAAGAGCACGCAGCCCTTGTAGCACTCCTGCACTGGGGCCACAGACACATAGCCAGAGTCCACCCTGGGCCAGCGTGGGAAGGGTCGCTCGTAGTGGATGGAGAGGTGACTCGGTGCTGTGGGGCAGCCTGGACTGGCTCTCTGTCCCTGGCTGCACCTCTCAGGGGCACGGGGCCCTGTTTCCTGCAGGTACTTTGAAGGCGGTGTCTCGTCTGTCTACCTCTGGGATCTGGATCACGGCTTTGCCGGAGTGATCCTCATAAAGAAGGCTGGAGACGGATCCAAGAAGATCAAAGGCTGCTGGGATTCCATCCATGTGGTGGAAGTGCAGGTACAGCCCCGCGGGAGCTGGCAGCGGGCTCTGGGTACAGTGTGGCAGCAAAGTCCCTCTTAATGGGATAGGAGGGCAGTCACTGATAAAAACCCCTGTTAATTCTTCTAAGTTCCCCAAAGCCATTGGATTCAGATAAATCAGGACTCTTTGCTTACAAGGTCCCAGATACTTAAAGATACCTCATTACGGATCCAGTCCTTTCAAAACCACTTGGAGAATGGGCGTCTGGCACAGAACTTAGGTTGCATGCATAGGACGCAGGAAGCAAGGGTGCCAGGGAGCACGGGGTGCCAGTCCTAGCTCTGCTGGTGCACACCCTGGGAGGCAGCAGGTGATAGCTCAAGTTTTTAAGTCCTTGACACCAACGTGAGAAACCCAGAGTAAATTCCCAGCTTCTGGCTTGGGCCTGGTGCCCTGAGGAATAGATCTCACCCACTCCATCTTTCTACTTTTCAAATAAAGTGAAAATAATGAAAATATTTGGAGGAGTATCTCTGTCTGCTTCTGTCTCTTTTCTCTCAAGTGAGAGACCAAGGTAGTCTTCCAGCTGCTGTCTGTCTCCGTGTTTACAGCAGCCTGGGCTGGACTGGTCAGAGCCAGGAACTGGGACTCCACACAGGGCTCCCACGTGGGGGTCAGGGACGCAGCCATTAGAGGCGTCACTTGCTACCTGCCGGGGGCGGTGGATTCAGAAGCAGAGCCAAGGTGCCATCTAGCTCAAGGCCCTCCGGTTACAAGGGGTGGGCATCCCAGGGCCCGTCCTGGTCACCGTGCCACAGGGCCACCCCAGTGTCTGCGACAGTGGGAGGGACGTTTCGAATGCTGCTGACCTCAGGGGAGACCTGGAGCTCCCCTCAGCTTGTTGCACCCGGATTGTGATCTCTCTCATGCTTTCCCCCTAGGAGAAATCCAGTGGTCGCACAGCCCACTACAAGTTAACCTCCACGGTGATGCTGTGGCTGCAGACCAACAAATCCGGCTCGGGTACCATGAACCTCGGGGGCAGCCTGACGAGACAGGTAGTGTCTCCGTTCACAACTGGCCGCCTGTGCCCGTGGGAGGTGGCCGCTCGGGGTACACACCATCCCACCTGCTGTGTAGGCCAGCTCTGCATCTGCCCACGAGCGGGGCGTAGCAGTAGACACCTGCCATCTCCCAGCCTGTGTCTTGCCGTAGCGGGTGTGGCTGGGCTGCCTCACTCCTGGGACTGCGCTCCCTTGGCCCGGGAGCTTGTTAGACACGCAGAGATCCCAGCCATGTGCAAGCTGGCCCCTCAGACTTCTCCTGACATCCGCTTTTGATACTCCTCAAAGCTTTAGCACCGGTGTTAATACCCTTGGCAAGCTCCTTCATCTCGAGTGAGGGCCTTCACCTGTGCCAAGGCAGGGCAGCTGGCCACCTGGGGGCGCGGAGGCCCAGGCCGAGCCCACCAGGCCTGCAAAGGAGGCATGCTTCACCACCCACAGCCACCATATTGGCAGCGGTGCCGTGGCCTCTATGTCCGGAGGTAGAGCTGTCTCCTCCTGTTTCACTCATGCCTGCTTTCCAGCACAAGAATTCCTTTTACCAGCATAACTTTTTTTCAGTAAGATAATTGTACTTTTAGTTGCAGCTGATAGAAAAAATACCCCAGAGCAGAAAGGATCCGTTTAGTACCTCTTTGAAACAGGTTTGTGTTCCATTGATCCAAGCCTCATCTGCATGCATTTGAGAAGTAGCCATGCAGACAGAGTTCTGGGCCCAGCATCCCGGAGGCACGAAGCCTCCACTCCCCACACCGGGTCACACCGGCCAAGGCTGCCCGGGCCCCTGGCCCTCCTTGCCTGGCCTCTGGCCCTCCTTGCCTGGCCCCTGGCCCTCCTTGCCTGGCCTCTGGCCCTGAGCTTCACAGGATGGAGCCGGTCCTCTCGGAGAGGAGGCGGAGGGCTCTTATCTCCTGGGGGCTGGTGACTGGGGAGGGGCAGCCAGCTCTGCCCCGGATTCCCCTCCCTTCCCCAACTCCCGCCACCTGGGAGAGGGTGGAAAGTTCTCACTCTGTTTCCGGAGCCTGCTTCCTGCTTCACTTACTGCTCTGTGCTGTTTATAGCTCCACCCGCTCCACAGTGACCAGGACAAATATTTAATCCTTGGCCTTCCTAATAGTTTAAATCAGAGCTGTCAGCCCAGGGCCAGGGCTTGGTTCCGGCTGCTGAGCATAGCGGCTGCTGCCAAGGCAAACTCAGGCCTGAGGAGTGGCTGTCCTCAGCATACCCTGCGGGCCCCTCAGCCCTGCTTGCCTCACCTGGGTTCTTGGGGGCTTTACCAGGGGAACTTGGTTTTATCCTTGCACTGATGGCCATCGTGTAACCCATGTGAGGTGCGTGGGGGCTGGGCCCGCCTCCAGCGTAAGTCACCTGCTACAGGGATGGGGACGTGCACGTTCTGAGCAGGGGGCTGTGTGTCCCAGGCTGGGCCTTGGATGGGGATCAGGAGGTTCTGGCAGGTGGAGCACTCCTGGGTGGTGGGCAGCGGGGAGTGGACACACTCAGCAGTGAGGAGGCAGGTTAGCCAGAGGCAGAGCTCCGCTTCCTGAGTTCAGTGAGAGGCAAAGCTACGTTTTGATCCTAGGTTTGTCTCCCCCCAAAAGCCCCCTGCTTTCTGCCACACTGCCTTTTTGGTCTTAGCCTGTCTCTCATGCCTGACGCTCAGCAGGTGCTGCACTTCAGAGGGAAATGGAGCCCACGGCTGCCCAAGCACTGTCCCCAGCAGCTGCCCTGGGCGCAGGGTGCTAAGTGGCACCTCTGCGTCTCTCCTGTGGCTGCCGTTGGCTCCTGGAGGTGGTGAGCAGGGCTTACCTGCTGTGCGTTTTCTGAAGGCAGCCCTGCCGGCTGGCCCGGGACACTGGCTGAAGTCTGTGGCTGCCGGGGGGCCTGAGGGCAAAGAGTGGGTCAGTGGGAGGCAGGTGCTGGCCTGAGGCGGATGATAAGATTGAGAGGTGCCCGGGACAGGAGGGTTCTGGAGGTGTGCACGTGGTCATGATGGCCCCAGAGCCTCTTGCTGGAGCTTGGTCCTCATGCAGTCCTGGTGGGGCCCAATCTGAGGCTTTTCTGCACATGCCTGGCCTCGTCGCCGCCTCCCCAGCTCACGTGCGCTGCTGCAGGAGGGAAAACCGTTGTGTCTTAGGCATCTTCTTTGTGGGCCCGGCCAGCCTGCAGGCCTGGTGGGGGCTCAGGAGTGGGCAGGCAGGAGGGGCCTGTGGTGAGCTGCTCCCGGAGCCCTGGCAGGAAGGCTGTGCAGCAAGGCCTCGCGCACTGGGAAGGAAGTGCCACCGAGAGACCGCTTCTCTGTGTGCTGGCACCCGGCTGGGCACAAGCGGGCTGGAAATCTGAAGAGAGACAAGGCTTCCCGTATGAGGAATGTTCTCCAGATGTTTACTGCTTCCTTAGAGTCTAAATATTTGCAGTGTTTTGTTGAGTGGGAAGCTCAGGCCCGTCTAGCGACCCTGCTGTCTCCTGCCCCCAGCAGTGGGCACCCAGTGGTCCTAGAGCAGCTGAGTCCATAGCAGAGCCTAACAGTAGGTCGCTGCTGGGCATGCCTCCTGCAGCCAGGCTGGGCCCTTGGGTGTATGTTCGTCAGGGGTGGCCCCACCCCTTCCTTGTGGATGTGAGGACCAAGGGTCCCTGGGGCATGGTTGTGGGAGGCCCCCTAGCTTCCGGAGCAGTTCGGTTTGGGCCATTTGGCCGGTGACTAGAGTTGTTGAGAGGGAAAACTGACATGGAGCTGTGCCCCTCACTCTAGAGTTTGGGCCCCAAAGACAGACGCCCCCCCCCCCAGGTATGTGTGGGCTGCACAGGCTTGCCTGGTTAGGTGTACTAGTAGGAAAATAAGTAGAGGGGCCTCCTGGTCCAGACCCTGGCCCAGCTGTGTGCCAGCTTCCCTTCCCTGAAACCCACCATAACATCTGTGCTGAAAGATCCTTTCGGGGTAGAAATGAAAAAAAACAAAACTTTAAAGAATGGTGGATGGAGCGCACAGACACACCCCATCGTCACACGTGCTGACCTTTGTCTTAGCAGTGAGGTTTACTGAGAAGTTCCAGCAAGCTCCACCATCTACTGGGGTGGTGGCGGTAACAGGCTTGGAATGGAAAAGGGAGTGGTTGTCACTTTGATGTTCATGGGCATTGTCACCACTGCTGTTTTGTGGGGACCTTTAGGGGTCTCCCAGGATTGAGACTCCTCGGGATCACTTGCCAAGGGGTGGAGGGCAGAGAAGCCGGTCACTGCGGCCGCCCATGGCCTCTCCATCTTGCCCAGTCTTGCCTGCCCAAATGCCTCGAGCTGCTGAGGCTCAGACTGTGCAAGGCTGCGGTCACCACCCCTCTCTGTTAGCTGGGCCCCTCTGGTCGTATTTTGGGCATGGTGCCCTGCCACCTGCGGTGTCCGTCTGCAGGATAATGGCCTGCAGGGCCCCATCCATCCTGCTGGAGCACCCAGTTCTTCGCCTTCTCCCCATCAAGGCGCTCAGACGCTTGAAGTGGGTGATCTCCAGCTTAACTGGCCAAGCCAGGTGGAGCCCTGCGTGAGGCTAGCGCCCTGTGGAGTGCCACCCCTGCCCAGGGCACAAAGAATGGCTGAGTACAGGCATGCTGCAGTCGCACAGAAGCTGCCAACACAGCCACAACTCCTGCCTCGTGAAATGATCCAGAACCCCCTAGACCTTGCACAGGAACTGCCAGTCAGTCGTTCCCCGTCTTGCACTTGGTGAGGTTAACGTCTGAGTGAACTAAGGGCCTGCTGTGCATCACACCCGCTGGGTGTCACAGGCCTGGGGAAGAGGAAGAGCAGGGGTGCTGGGGTCTGCCAGGGCTGCACTGACAACTCACCTGTAAGCTTGGCTGAGGCCAAGACAGTCAGATGGCTTGGGAGCTGCTGTGGTGCTGGGGGTGCATCTGAGCGCCCCCCCCTTCTGGGTGATCTGTGCATCTCAGTGCCTGCCGCTGGCCACAGGATGCTGACAGCTCTCTCAGCCTCCCCTGGCACCCTTACTAGCATCAGGAACTGCTGGACGATGGCACGACGAGGCCCCTGGGCCTTCCCTGCCTGAGCTGCAGCTGCAAGGGCTGATGTCCTGGCACAGTCCGGGACCCCCACTGCATAGTTGTCTGTTGTCAACCCAGTGTCCCTGTTGCAATGGGAAGTAAGAGTGCCCCAGTGGGCCCCACTGGTCCCTGTGACCTCGCTAACAGGTGATTTTTGAGCGCTGCCACAAGTGATGGCCTAGGTGTTTCATTTCAGGCTGGCCACTGTCGCCCTCTAATGTCCTTGTGTCTGCGCACCATCATGTTCCAGGACCTACTGATTGGCAGCTGGGCTTGCTCAGCCCTGAAGGCTGAGCTATTGACCATGCTGGACTTCTCACCTAGCTCTACTCGCCCAGTGAGTCCACAGGTGCCTCCTGGCTGGCTCGGGTCTTCCTTCCCTGGCCAGATGAGGACAGGTGATGGTTGGCACCTTGGCAGCCCGTTCCTAGCCTCTGAACACCCCCCCACCACACATCGGCCTGTCCTGCCGCTGCTGTTCCTGCCATTTGCTTCTCGGTGACTGGTGTACACTTCCATTGATTCAAGTGGGGGCAGGAGTGGGCACACATGCTCAGCCTGCAGCCAGCAGTGGTCTCCCTCCCTCTCTGCCTCTCCCCGCAAGACCCTGCACTGTGATTACTGAGCTTGACCAAGCTGGTGTTAGAAGCTCAGCTCACCTCAGCCCTCTTAATTCTCCCACCCCCAGAGATACAGGCTCTGAGGTCTCTGGAGTTTGACCTTGGTTCTGCCTCTGGGTGACCTTGGGCGGATCTCTCAGTCTGTGTGCCCTTGGGCAGTTCTCCACCCCAGAGGCTGCCTCTGTCGTTCACAGGCCCTGTCCCTGTCCCTTTCCGCCCTTCCTGCTGTCAGGACAATAGTGAAACCCACTCCCCTGGAATTGGGGCTGGGGCTCCAGCAGGCAGGGCTGTTTAGAACCTGACATTGAAGTTGTCACAGTGCTGCCAGTGGGCACCATCGGCTTGTTGGTGGAGGTGGCGGTTGTTGCACCACCGTGCCCAGGAGCCCTGGCTGGCTCTGACGTGCAGGAGTGTTCTGTCTTTGCAGATGGAGAAGGATGAGACCGTGAGTGACTGCTCCCCACACATAGCCAATATTGGGCGCCTGGTGGAGGTGAGTGGGCCCTGTGTGGGCACAGCTTGGGGGGCTTCCTGGAAGCGGTGTGCCACACAGTTGCTGCTTCTCTGCTCCACTCCTTGACTCTAGCACAGTTCCAGTGTGTGGGGCGGGGCTCTTGGGGTTACCCCCGCTGTTGGTGGAGCTGGAAGGAAGGCTGAGAGCCAGTGCTGTGGCTCAGACCCGGCCACCATACCCGGGGACAGTCGAGCGCTTGGAGCACAGCTGTCATAAGAAGCAGTGCATTGGGTTGGGTTGGCTTTGGCTGGCCAGGCCCCACCGCCACTGACTGACCTCCTTCCCAGGACATGGAGAATAAAATCCGGAGTACGCTGAATGAGATCTACTTTGGAAAAACAAAGGACATTGTCAACGGGCTGAGGTAACGCTCCCGTGAGCGCGCGTGGGGACCTGCAGCAGTTGGCAGCGTGGCCGCCGGGTCGTAGAAGGGGCTGAGGTTGGAAAGCACTTGGGGTGCATGGTGGCCTGGGCTGAGACTGGCCCCCAAGTCAGAAGAGTGCGGTATCCCCTGAGCCCAGAGTGTCCACACTCCCCAGCCCCACTGGCCTGGGAGGCTGGTGGTGCCAGGGCAAGGCAAGAGGCCAAGGTCTGAGGTGAATGTTGTGTGTGTGTGGCCAGCCCCTGGTCCGGTCCAAAGGTCCCACAGACAGGTTGAACAGCCACGGGGATGTCCACCTGGTGGGTGGGTCTGGGAGCCAGGTTGCAGGCAGTTACCCAGCTGTGCTCGCCCTGACTTCCTGCCCCGCCTGGGGCAGCCTGTGCTGGGTCCCTTTGCTTCCTCTCTCTGGCCTCGGTGCGGTAAGAACCCAGGGAGTGCAGTGGCAGAGCCCCCCATACTCCTCAGGGCCCAGGCCTCTCCCACCACACCCACCAGTTTTCCCAGCAGAGGCTGGGCACTGGGCCTCCACAGGGGTACTAGTGACGCTGGAGTATGCTCCCTACCAGCTGGGACCTCAGCAGGGGGTCGCCCCACACAGTCCCCTGCCCTGGGCCCTCGGTCTCCAGGCGCCTGTGCCCGCATTCTTCCTGCTCCTCACCTCCGACTGCTCTCTGTAGATCTATTGATGCTATCCCTGACAACCAAAAGTTTAAGCAGTTGCAGAGGGAGCTTTCCCAAGTGCTGACCCAGCGCCAGATCTACATCCAGCCTGATAATTGAACCGATCCAGGTACCCTGCCTGATGGGCATGAAAGCCTCCCACTAAACAACACTCACCAACCTGCCGAGACCCGCCCTCCGGCTGTCTGTGCGCCCGGTTAAACCTTCACTAACCCCTGTGCGCTGTCGGCTGCTGAGCGGCCGCATAACACGTCTCGGCCGACCTAACAGACACGTGTGTTCACGTGTGTGATGTGTGGTGTGCACTGGACAAGGGACAGGGTTGTCCGGGCCTGACTTGGTGCCTGGAAGAGCCGTTGCCGAGGACTGACATGTCCAGCAGAGGCTGCCTGTGTGCACCTGCCCTGAAGGCCCAGAGCCAGGCCTGGGCCCTGCCCTCTGCTCCCCAATCCCCACATGCCTCAGGGGAGTCCCTCGGGCCTTCCCAGCAGCCAGTCCCCGGTGGTGACTTGGGGACTTGGGGAGGGGCAGCTGACTTGGAAGGGGGCACCGTACTCTCCGAGGCTCAGGATGAGTGCAGGGGTGGCTCAGTGATGCCCCTCGGGACCAGCTGCTGCCAGAGTGGCTGGGGTGCCTGGGACAGCATCCCTCCCCTCCTTCCTGATGGATGGGGAACTGGCTGATTTCCCTTGGTAATGGCCTAGGACCTTGACCAGAGTTTGTGATTACACACAGATGTAGAAAAGCAATCCACTTTTCTCAGGAGAGGGCAGCAGGGCTCCTGAGGGCTCCCGAGGCCTCCGCACCTGGCCCAAAAAGGGCCCGGTGGGGGCACTTAGGGCAATGGCCAGAGCGGCTGCTCAGGCAAGAATGGCGCTGTTTGTTGTCATCACAGTACCCCCCACCACATGCAGCGCAGAAAGCCAGGGCCAGCGGGGCGCCTGTCTGCCCCATAAACTCAAGGGACCCCTGCTCCTCACGGCCTTCCAAGTTTAACTCTGTCTCTAACCTGGTTCTGATGCAGAGCTTTGTCCTGCGGGGTGGAGTTGGCTGGACATAGCCCAGGCGTGGCATGCTGCTACTGGGGTCCCTGTCTCCTGGGAAAGCCAGTTATGCCGGGCCAGAGGCTGCTGCTCTGTCCATCACATCAGTCCCCAACTGTGACAGCTCCCCAGCATGAGGCTGGGCACAGGGGACAATGGGGCTGCCATACTACCCTGTCTGGGTCACACAGCGGGAAGGCAGCATGTGTCACCAGCAGGTGCCTCTGCCTCTGCACGTGGCTCTGAACTTGTCCATGTCTCCCTCCACAGCTTCCCCCAGGTTCAGTCTGGGTGCCCCTGCCAGGTTCAGTCTGGGTGCCCCTGCCAGGTTCAGTCTGGGTGCCCCTGCCAGGCCCCTGTGCGTGTGGCAGGCAGTGTTCTCTGTCGTCTTCCTTTCCTTTCTGTGTTTGCTGTTCGCCTGCTAGCTGAGGCCCTCGCTGAGTGTCCCGGCCCCTGCATTGCTCTCGGCAAGCTCCTCCCCTCTTCCTCCAACTTCTAGGCTGTTAGAAAGCTGGGGGTGAATTGCTAACTTCGTGCTGGTTAGGCAGCATGCTGAGGACAAGTGACAGGGACCTGCCAGGGTCCAGGTGCTCATCTGTAGGCTGTAATGTGGCCCCTTCCCCTGGGACACACATGCGGGAAGCAGCTGGCCAAGTGTGCAGCACCCACGTGTGTTAGCTGTGTGTGCCTGTTGGAGTGTTCCCAGTCACATTAACGTTGTCCCCCACCCTGACCCCAACAAGCCCGAGGGGCTTCCTGGGCTGCCAGTGCTGGCCACATCACTGCTGGCACTCAGGGGCTGGCTTGCATAGACTCTTGGTCCTGGAACATTTGCCAGTGGTGTCCATATGTTGCCCTACCACCCCGTGCTTGCAGGACATAGAAGTGAGCCTCCTCTGGGCAGCAGGGGTCCTCAGGGGGTCCCTCCCTCTTAGCCCCTGGCCTGAGTCCCCTGCCAGAGACCCAGAGAGCTGCCTGGAAGCAGATCTTGGGTGCCACTGGCTGCTGTGGTCAGAATCAGCCCAGGACACTGTCCCTTGAGCTCACTTGGAATCTCACCTCTGCAGCTGATCAGAGGGCTGTGGGTCCCCGGGCTGATGGGGGGTGGGGGACACGGGGCCCAGGACTGTCCCCTCCACAGCACCTCCCACGCAGCCCACTGATGGTGCCTTCTCCGCCCCGCAGGTCTGTGCAGACCTTTGCAGACAAATCAAAACAAGAAGCGCTTAAGAACGACCTGGTGGAGGCTTTGAAGAGGAAGCAGCAGAGTTAAAGCCTGCTCCGCTAACCGGACACGCCGCGCACTCTTTAGGTTCCTTTCCTAGAAAACTTGTTTCTGCTCCCTGTCCCCGCCCCTCCCTCCCCGACAGGTCCCGCCCCACCTCGCACCATCAACAGCACAGCGCCATCTCCCCGAGAATAAAGCCCAGTAAGCGCCCTGCTCCGGCTCCGAGGCCTGCTTCCCACCGTGTCGCTGTCGGACCCTCGGTGTTTGCGCCCGCCTGGGCCTGCGTCTTCCTCCCCTGCCCGCCTCCCGCTCTCACAGGCATCTACACGGCCCGCCAGCCCTCCCCGTCCACCTTTTTTGTTACATTGGTGTAAAAAATGTAAAACAAAAATTTTATGAAGTAACTGTGGTGTGTGAGAGACAGAAGGAAACCTGGAGGGCCCGCTCCGCTGGTTGGGAGTGGCCCACGGCCGGGGCGGGAGGAGGGGCGGTGGCCTCCGCTGTCCTGCACAGGCTGTCCTGCACAGGCTCGGCCCTGTCCCCTGGAGACCACGGCCCCGGGGCGGGGCGGGGCTGCTGTTCTGGCCAGGTGCTTTTCTGTCAATTTTTACGGAATGCAACAGGAGTTTTTTGTTTTATTTTGTTTTTTTGTAAAGCTTAACAAAAAATATCTACATCTTATACTTGAGCCTCCATACTTAAAAAAAAAAAAAGAAAAAAAAGAACAAAAAAATTAAATAAAAAGAAACTGGGATGCAGTTAGCATTGGCTTTGCTGTGTTTTTCTCGCCTGCCTCCCCTTCTAGACTGGTACTGCCTCCTAGGCCGCCGCGTGGAGGAGCCTTAGAGACCCCCTCTCACCTCACCCTCAGAAAAGCTTAGGACCACCTGAAGCCTCACCAGCTGGGTGTGTGGTGGGCCGCAGGGGTCCCCACTCCTGCCTCAGGCCTGTCTTTTCTCCCTCCACACGAATGCCCGGCCTGAAGGTCCTGGTGCTGCCCGGGACCCAGCCCTCGCTGCAGCCCCCAGTTCCAGGTCACCCTGTGGGTGCTGGCTGCTGCCTCCCGGCTGAGGCAAGCCCCCCACCTTCGTGCAGTGCAGAGCCTGTGGTGGGAGCCTGGCGTGGGAGACTCTGCCCTCTGGTGCTTTTGGCCCTGGGTGACTATAGGAGGTTGGGTGAGGCTGGGCCTGGCTCTGGGCACCCTGTCATGCTGGAAGTTTTGACTGCTGTGTGCCAAGCCTGGCTTCATTCTGCCTTCTGGAATCCTCTTCAGGAGCCGTCACTGCTGCTTTTTTTGATGTAAGATTAAGACAGCATGTAGGGAGCCATGGTCTGGCCACTGCCCAGCCCCCTCTGAGGCCTAGGGGCTGGCAGGGCCCCTGGAGCACCCCAAGAAGAAGGGAGCCCAGGGAGGTAGCACAGAAGAGTGGGGTGGGGTAGAAGGCATCCTTGGTCCCATGAGCAGCAGGGGAGGCAGCCTCGGGGGAGGGCCCCCATGGGTGCACCAAGGCCCTTCCGCTGCCTGACCCTTGAGCCTCTGGGCTCACGCTGGGTTCTGCTAGCCCAGCTGGCAAGATCCCACTTCCACCCCCCAGCCCTGAGACAAGGGCTGAGCAGCGGCTGGAGGCCTCAGCCACACCCCTGAAGGTGCTCTGAGAGCCATTTTCCCTGCACCCATCCCTGGCTCCCCTCTTCCTCCTGTGCGCCCCTCACAGCCTGCCCTTGTGGCTTGTCAGCACATGGGAACCTGGCGTAACCAGCAGCAGAGTGGGCCAACACTCTGCAGCACACCCTTGCCTGGCCAGGCCGAGCAGGCAGGTGGCTAGGACCAGAGCCTGCTCTGGGCAGGCTCCTGCTGCCCCCAGGAGTCTCTGAGTGACCACCCCCTCTGTGTCTCTAAGGCACGTAGCCTGTTGGGGCCCAGGCTAAGCCCTGCCCACCTCTGCACCTCCCCTTCCTCTTGTCTGTGCCATGCCATCTTAACCCCTACCCATCTTCCCCACTCATCCTGCTGGCCTGCCACCTCCTCCAGGAAGGCCTCCCCTGCTTGCCTCCAACTGCAAAACCAATGATGCCAACCTAGGGGCTCAGCTCCGTTAACCTCACTACTGTATGTGACCCTCACTAAGGGCTGGGGAAGCTTTCTTCTGCTGAGGGCTATTTGAATCTAGCATCACCTGCAGGCAGTGCAAAATCAGCAACTTAAAAATGAGCCTGCTGTAGATTTATTGAATTTCAGCCTCCACCTGTGGCTGCCGTGGCAGGGCCAGACCAAGTGATTCTGTGCCCTGGAGTAGCCCCAAGCCGGATGCTCCCTCTCACTGGACGTCGGAAGTGGCAGTGCTGTCATCCCATTGCACCGACTCTAGGACCAGCACCACAGAGGCCAGGGACACCACGAAGCTTAGGGGCAGGACCAAGAGCCACCCTCCACCACCCTGTGCTCCCGCCTCACGCTATTCCCGCTGCTGCGTCCCCCGACCCGGCTGCAGCCTGCCACTGGCGGGGCCCAGGGACACATACTGCAGAGCCTCCGGCCTTGGTAGAATGTGCTCTTCACTTGGCTTGCTCTGGGGGCCCGGCCCATGCTGCCCCAGGCACCCAGGGGGAGGAATGAGAGCAGCAGCCTGGCCAGGAGGCCCCGCAGACCATGTGGGCTCAGGTCACTGGGCAGCTGCCAGGGCCTCCAGGGTACCCAGGCACAGTGAGGTAGGTGGGCATGACGGACAGCGACACTGGCTCCTGGGAAGTGTGTTGTGGGGAGCAGGTTGGCAGGGCCCGGGGGCTCCCTCACTCCTAGAAGTCCACCCAGTCCCCAGAGGAGGCTGGGCAGAGCCACTGGGGCCGCAGCAGCACCCACACCTCTCCCTTTGTGGGTGTGGCTCGTGGAGGTCTCGGTCATCCTTGTCTCAGCCTGGAACTGGTCAGCTAGAGAGCAAGGGCTCCCGCTCGGCGGTGGTGCAGGCGGTGGGGACTGCGCGGTTCCTGTACACCAGGAACTGGACCGAGATCTGAGGGTCCAGGTTAAGGCCGAAGCTGGCAGGCAGGGTTAGAAACACCGCTGGGGAGGACACGGGTGAGCCCTCCAGAGCTGCCCTCCTCTTCCCTTGTGGGAAAGGGCCCCTTTGCTCCTGCTACGCCCTCTGATGACCAGCCCTGGCCAATCCTACACAGTGCCCCGTCTCCCTCAGGCAGCCTTGCTGCACCCCTGGCCTAGAGTCTTTGCTTCCTTCTGTTAACAGCCTGGGCTTCCCCCGCAGCCCGCAAACAACAGGGTATCCTTGCCTTGGCCTAACATCAGCTTCAGGCTGAGTTAAACATCTGGAACCACCCTCCACTCTGGAAAAAGGCCCTGCAGCACGTGTGGCTACTGCAGTGAGGGGAGTGGGTCATTCCCTGCGCCCACTCTGCTTCCCCCACCCCCCAGGGCCAGGGCCTTCTGCAGATGAGGGAGGGCTCCACTGTTCTGGCTCACAGTAGAGCCAGGGCCTGGCTGGGTGGCTGGCACACAGGAGGGATGGGAGGAAGAGGAGGAGGGATGGATGCATGCATGGCAGGGAGCAGGGAGGCGAAGTAAAGGAATGCCCAGCAAAGCTGCCCAGCCCCGCCCACCCCACAGACCAGGAAGGATACCACGGTGTCGAGCAGCAGCACCCCGAGGCTGCCCACGAGCCAGGGCAGGTGGTGCAGCAGATAGCTGCCCTCGCTCTCACCCATGTCAGGATTCTTGAGCAGTACGCTCAGCCCATACAGCGTGTTGCCCAGCATCACCAAGGCAAAGAGAGAGTAGGAGATGCCCTGGGTGGATTTCCGCAGGAACTGGGGGAGCGGGGAGGCAGTGGGAGGCATCACTCTGGATGCTCCATGTGCCACCTGCCTCCCATGTGCCCACCGTGTATCCTCGGGACCCAGCTGTCTATGTGCCTGGGCCCACCTTCTCACTCAGATTCTCTTGCCCAGGGCCCACCCAGGTCTACATGTGCAGCTGTGCCCACTTTCCTGCCCTCCCAAGGACTCTCTGCATCTGCCTGCCTCCCACCCCTGGTATCCTCCCATCTCACTGCTCAACTGTGGACTCTTCCTACTGACCTCTGCCCATCTTCCCTTGGACCCCTTGGGGCGGGCATCACCAGGGCCACATGCCAGAGGCACAAATAGAGGCTCAGAGGGTTGGAGTCAGCTGCTCAAGCCCAGGCCAAGGGTGGTCCCAGACTTTCTGGACAGATTCCCATCTGCTCCCAGCCCCTCCTGTCCCCAGCCTCAGCTCACGTTGGTGCGGATCTGGGGCAGCCGAGACAGCAGGTAGAGCACGCTGGAGATGGAGCCAATCACAAAGCCGATGACCTCCTGCTGGGTGAAGGGCTGGGGGGCAACGAGGGTGAGTCTCCAGCCCACTTGAATCCCAAGAGGCCATACCAGGGAGGGTCTTGGGGATGAGCCGACCCCTACCCCATCCTACCACCACCAACAACCTCACCCTAATGTGTGGCTCCACAGACAGGAGTGTCCGTCCCTGGAAGCTCCCCGTTGGGGCAGCCACTGGCCCAGCACTGCTCAGCAACGGCACAGCACACACCGCCCCCGCGACCAACAGGAGCACAGAATTGATGGGGGTGGACACTGAACAGGGCAGTGGGAGCCACGTTAGGGGTGCGAGTGGCAGCAGGCAGCTTGGGGTGGGAGCTCTGGCCCTGCCCCTCAGTGCCGTGTGACCTCCCATCAGTGAGCTAGCCTCTCTGGGCATCAATGCCTCCACTGCAGAAGGGGCAGAAGAACTCCCCCTCGTGAGGCTGGCTTTGCAGGATAGCAGGCACTGCTGCCCGTGATGCCAGCATCCCATATGGGTACCAGCTCACATCCCAGCTGCTCCACTTCCGAAACAGCTCCCTGTTACTGCGCCTGGGAAAGGCAGTGGGAGAGGGCCTGAGGCTTTGGGCCCCTGCATGCATGTGGCAGCCCCAGAGAAGCTCCTGGCTCCTGGCTCCTGGCTCCTGGCTTGAGCTGACCCAACCCAGGCTGTTGCAGCCATTTGGAGGAATAAACCAGTAGATGGGTGACAGCCGCTCTCTCTCTCCCTCCATCTCTGTAACTGTGCCTTTAAAATGAACATATAAACCTTTAAACAAAGGAGAAGCCCTCTCCCAGAGTTGGACAGGGAAAGCAGCGAGGTTGGTCAGCAGGGGTCACCCAAGGCAGCAAGACCAGAGCAGCCCAGGCCCCCCTTGGAGGCCTCTGCAGAGGCCTTGGCCAAGCCAACCGTGTCTACTGCCCCTTCTGAACCCTGGAGGGCCTTGGCTCACGCCCCCAGCCCACGGCGCAGGACCAGCGTTACTCACACCCAGGGGAACGGTTCTTGAACTTGTAATAGAAGTACAGAGTCAGCATCACCAGGTCCGCCGAGACGTAATACACGGCTGTGTATGTCTGCAGGAGGAGCAGGCCCGGCACTGGTCACCCCGGCATGGGACTTGGCCGCACCCCAGCTACTGACTCTGACCCAGTCACCCCTGATTCGAGAAGAGGAGATCATCCCACCCTGTGAGCCCCCCAGACCTGGTGCCAGCCTGCCCGGGAGTAGACCCCTGGCAGTCCCCTTGTGCACACAGCACTTCTGTGCCTATGAGTGCCAGCCCTGCCTGCCCAAGGGGACAATGCTTCCTTTTTTCTCCCAGAGCTGACACCTTGAACACCTACTCAAGGTCTTGGTGCCTCGGGGGTCTCGTGCCTTGATGTGCTGTTGTTGCACAGCACACATGGCAGGCAGAAGCCCCCCTCTGCAGCATGGGGACCTCACGAGATGCAAGGCCTTGGCTGGCAAGCATCCAGCACCTCTGCCAGGCCCTGCTGGGCAGCCCAATCCCACTTCCCCGCCTGGGGACCAGCGCACCTGCAGAGGTAGCTGGTTGGCGAGGAAAGAGCCGATGAGGTTGCAGGAGTCCCCGCCGATCCAGCCCAGGAGGAACCACAGGGACAGGGCCTGGTCCATGTTGCCGGTCTTGCAGGCCTTGATGAACTGGCTGTGGAAGAGCAGTGGAGTATGCATCCAGGTCCCCCATGGGGGGCGCAGGACCCAGCTGGCCTTCCCAGGTGCATTAGCAGGGAGCCAGATCAGAAGCAGAACAGCACTGCGGTATAGGATGCAGGCAGTGGCTTAACCACAGCCCCGGCCCCAGGGGAATCCCTTCTAACCCTCAGCCCAGTGTTCCATGGCTGTGCCTTATCCCTTGGGTTCCAGTGCCTGCTGGGTTCTCCGGGTTTATACGGCATCGTGGGGCTTGGACTCAGCCCAAGCTCTGTGCCACGTCACAGTGTCCCTGGCTTCTTTCCTCCATGGCTGGGGTGGGGGTGTGGAAGGAAGGACAAGACAGCAGACCCAAGGAAGGCCTGGCATTCTTGGACCACAAACCAGCAGACAACACCTCTCTCCTCCTGTCTCTCAAATAAATGTTTTGTTTTGTTTTTAAAACAGATAGAGGATCTGGTACCATGGGATAGTAGGTAGAACTGCTACCTCCAGCACCAGTATCCCTTAGAGCACCAGTTTGAGTCCCAGCTGCCTCACTTCTGATCCAGCTTCCTGCTGATGGCCTGGGAAAGCAGCAGAGGATGGCCCAGGTCCTATGGGTCCCTGCACCTATGTGGGAAACCAGGATAAAGTTCCAGGCTCCTAGCTTCAGCCTGGCCCAGCTCCTGCCATTGCAGCCATTAGGGGAGTAAACCAGCAGAAGGAAGACTTCTCTTTTTCTCTCCTTCAGCCTGTCAATTAGGTAAATAAATAAATCTTAAAAAATAAAAAAGTAGACATAAACTAAATAGCACCTTATCCCACCGACCACCCAAACCATACACAGAACACTGGAGCCTGGCCCTGCTCCCTCCGCAGTGTCCCCACGCCCACTTCTCTCCCAGCCCAGTTTTCCCAGAGTCTACCTCCCCCTCAGTCTTTCTAAATCACAGTCAGACACCCCCAGGCTGCACAGCTGCTTGCTCTTCCTGGTAGGCGGGGTAGGCGGGGCAGGTGGAGGCACCTCCTCTCCAGCTTGTTTCAGGAAGCACCAGTTCCTCCCCAGGGCAGAATCTCCTTCCTCCTTCGTGACCTTCCCCACCCCAGTCACCCACCCTGGACTCAAGCTTCCTGAGGGCAGGCCCACATCGCCAGGCCCTAACTCCAGTGCCCTCTCTCTGCAACCCACAGCAAAGTGACTTGCTCCCACCCAGGAGGGGCCCAGCCCCGGGAGCAGAGTGAAGGCGTGTGCGTCCTCCCCGGCCTCTGGCAGGCAGGGAACGCCCCAGCCAGCTCTCTGTCCCTTGGCCTCCAGCACTCGCCCAGCCCTGTGAGGTGGGTGAGTCTGCCCTCTTCCCTTCCCCCTCCAGCATGACCTCCCCCAGGGCCCACAGGATATCCACATGCAGAAGAACGCAATCAAATCCAACAAATTAGACATCACCAAACCTAGAAATGTGTGCACTTTAAGGGATGTAATGGAGAAATGGAAAGAGCATGGGCATCCGGTGCAGAGGCTAAGACCCCACTTGGGACCCCCACATCCCATCTCAAGGTGTCGGGATTCAGTGCCTGGCTCCACTCCGGATGCCCGCTTCCTGCTAATGCATACCCCGAGAGGCCACAGGTGGCAGCTCAATGTTTTTGAGTTCCTGCCATGTGTGTGGGAAACCCTGCTTGCCGACTGAGGTCTAGGTTCCTGGTTTCAGCCTGGCTCAGCCCAGGTGTTGTAGGCATTCGGGAAGTAAATCAGTAGGTGAAAACTCTCTCTCTCTCTCTCTCTCTCTCTCTCTCAGCCTTCCCAATAAAATCAATAAATTTTTAGGAGTAGGTGAGCCAGCAGTATGGCACAGCACACTAAGCAGTGCTGACATCCCACAGCCGAGCACCCCTCGCAGTGCAGCAGCTCTGCTTCCCATCCAGCTAACAGCTAATGCACCTGGGAAAGCAGTGGAGGATGGCCCGAGTGCCTGTACCCCTGCACCCAAGTGGGAGACCTGATGAAGTTCCTGACTCCTGGCTTTGTCCTCGCCATTTAGACAGTGAACCAGTGCTTGGAAAATCTCTCCCCTTCTAACTACAGACCAAGTAACTAAAAACATATTTTTTTAAAATAAGTAAAAGCAGACAGGAGATCCAAAGAAGACAGGTGGCCAATTTGCACACAAGGAGCTGCCTAGCTTCACCACCTGGCAGGAAAATGAGAAGCAAAACCATGCAGACGCCACACCCAGGGGGATGGCGGAACAAGCATGGTGGAGGACCTGGGACACATACTGCTGGTGGCAATGTGCATGGGTGTGGCCGCTTTTAGAATCTGGCAAATCCTCCAAAGATGAGACACAGTTGTCCTGTGATGCAGCGAATCCAGTCCCAGGGATGCGCTCAGACGCACAGGGCCCCCCGCACCTCGTCCCTGAGTGTGCGCAGCAGCCTGGCGTCTCACAGGTGCAGAGTGAAAACTGCCAGATGGTCCTCAGGAGATGATGGGTAGAGGGAATAGCATGCAACCCCCAAAAGGACAGGAGAGCCGGAAGACACCACAGCACAGACAGAGCGTGAAGATATTATGTTAAGCCGAAGCAGCGAGTCAGAAAAGGCCGGGCTGTCCCCGTCACACACTGAGTCCACGGACGTGATCATGAGATGGGGCATCAAGCACTGGACACGAGGCTGAGGGGGCAATGAGGGCCGGGTGCTGTGGGGCGCAGGCTTCCCTTGGGGGTGACGACAATGTTTTGGTCCCACAGCCTGCACACAGAACTGCCGACAGCTTTCAGACCACGGGTGCACAGGTGCAGAGGCCCTGAGTTAGGCACTTTACACACACGCCCCTGTGCCAGCCTCACAGTAGTTCCTGAGGTGGGGAACAATCGTATCCCATTTTATAGATGAGAAAACTGATAGCACACAGCAGCCAAGTGACGTGCTCAGGCGGGAACTAGAGTGTGGGCAGAGCCAAGTGTGGCCGCTTTGTGATGTTACGCAGTGTGTTTGTTTCCTTGTTTGCTAATCACAGCAGCGGCCACAGCAGGCTGCACCCATTGTTTCCGTCTCCACTGCCACGCAATCCGAGCCTGGGGGCCGTGGGCCATGGCTGGTGCCCACATCTTTTATTAGCTGTGCAACCTACAGCGTGTTACTGAAGCTCTCTGGGTTTCAGTTCCCTTACCTGTGAAATAGGGATAGCAACTTCATCTATGTCATTAAATGAGGGGGGAAAGCCAGGAGGTGAGGCAGGTGCACAAGCAGGTGCAGAGTGCCACACAGTGCAACCAGCTTTCGTAGCCCAGTGTGGCTCGGCACAGGGCGGAAACACCTCTCAGCCATGCCTGGAGCTCCCCGCCACCCTGCCCGCCCCAGCCCTGCCCAGCTCTACTCACGGGAAGGTGGAAGCCGAGAAGCAGAGGATGGAGATCAAACCCAGGCCCACGCTGGCCTCATCCCAGCCGTCGTAGGCACACTCACCAAACACATCCCAGATCCACTGGCGGGAGCCGTTGGGGCAGCTGGAGAAGTTGCTTGGGCTCAGCTTCCTCCAGACCATGGCGGTGGCCTGGGAGCTCCCAGCCCAGGAGGGTGAGTGGCACAGGGGACTCTGAGGAGACACAGAGAGGAGGCCTTCAGGCTTGGGTGACTTGGCTCAGGCCCTGCTGCAGCCCCCGACACTGAGGGCTGTGCCAGCCCATGCAGCTGCAGGCAGCTTTAAAGAATACGGAGGAAAACAGCATATACCAGCCTGACGCTTGTGCAGGGGAGCGGGATCTGCAGCCAGAGCAGGTGCCTTCAACCCCCAGCTTTACCACTCGCTGGTGCCACAACTGGCCTTGCCGTGTCTCGGCTCTCTCATCTGTCCAGTGGACAGCAACAACACTGCCTCCCTCCCCTCCCTGCCACTGTCCGGGTTACTGAGATCAGAGTGTGGACCTGGGTGCTAGGGCAAGTGCACACTTGGACTGCTTGCTGCAGATGACTTGTGCCATTCTGAGGAGGCCAGGCCTGTCAAGGACAGAATCTCAGGCAAAGCAGGGCTGCAGCGGTCTGGTATTGCAGCACAGCACATTAAGCCACTGCTTGCAAAAGCAGCATTCCACATCAGAGTGCTGGTGTTTGAGTCCCACATGCTCTGCTCCTGATTCAGATCCCTGTTAATAAACACAGCTGGGAAGGCACTGGAAGATGGCCCAGGCACTTGGACCCCTGCTACCCATGTAGGACATCAGGACAGACTTCCAGGCTCCCAGCCCAGCCTGGCCATTTGGGAAGTGAACCAGGGGATGGAAGAGATCACTCCCTCCTTAAAGATTTATCTCTTTGAAAGGCAGAGTTAGAGAGACAGATCTTCCACCTGCTTGTTCACTCTCCCAATGGCCACAACAGCCAGAACTGAGCTGATCTGAAGCCAGGAGCTTCTTCCAGGTCTCCCGCATGGGTGCAGGGGCCCAAGACTTGGGCCATCTTCTGCTGCTTTCCCAGGTTATAAAGCAGGGAGCTGGATCAGAAGTGGAGCAACTGGGACTTGAACTGGTGCCTATAAGGGATGCCTGTGCCACAGGCAGATCAGGCTGCGGTACCACTGCAGTGGCCCCATCTATCATTCTGTGTTTCAAATAAAGGGCTGCCCACACATTAGTCCTGTCGGTGCAGGGATGCACCTGCAGCTGATTCAAACGCAGGATGCTTGAGTCTACATCCTCCCAGGAGACCATACGGCATATGTGATGCTGCAAGGGGCCCCTGAGGGCCCCAGCCATCTCCTTCTCAACAAAGCTGGAACGGCTCTCAGCAGCATCACTTGGTGGCTGGGTACCCTGAACAAGAGTACAGTAGACACTGCCTATGTGACAACGCTAGAGAAGGGACAGAAAGTGGGGCCTGGCTAGAACCACCTCTGTGGGTGACAGTCCCTCAGCAAGGTGCCATGACCTCCGCCCCAACTGGGTGAAGACCCTGAGCCTGGAGCAGAAGACATCTGCCAGAGCTTGGAAGCAAAGGACTCCGACCCTGGGCACAGTCCCGAAGACGCAGGCACACACATCTCCTGGGAGTGTGGAAGGAAGACTGCCCGGCTTCTCGCGGAGAGAAAGGCGGGTTTCCCCTTTTCTCGCCAGACTGACAGGGGCTTCCTCGCCAGGCGGGGGGGTGCTCTAGCCAGGCTCCTTAGCTCCCGTTTGGGGCACAGCCTGGGCTGCTCATTCAGCCATGCCCAGGGCTCACAGGGAGCAGGAAGCAGCAGCAGGCAGGGCAAGGACCAAGGCAGATTGCTTTGCTCTGGAAACCAGAGCCTCAGGCCCACGGTGACCCATGCGGGGACAGATCCCCTCACACTGAAAGCAAGGGCACCCCGTCCATGGTCTGCCCTGTTCACTACCCCACCCAGCACAGTGGGGACAGCACACTTGATCGCAAAGCCATATAAACTTGCCACCCTTACAGCCTCCCAGCCACTCAACGTACGTGGCCATTTTACAGAGGAGCCTAAACAGCTGTGGACAAGTGGAGACCTCTGCCTGCACCTGCTGGTGAAGCCACACTGACTCGCAAGGTGGCCATGCTGACTAAACTTCATGCAAACAGCTCCCAGCAGGTGCCTGACAGCACAGGCTGGTGTGCCCGAGCCAGTACAGGCTGGCTGTGATTGTTCTCAGGCGTCCAGAATTTGAGCCGCCCCCTTCCGGCCAGCCTGGGGGCCTGGGTCTCTCTCGTTCTCCTCTGCAGGCCAGGGAGGAGAGCAGGTGGATGTTAAGGAGCCGCCACACAGGCCTCTGACCTGGACAGACCTAGGTGCAGCTTAGAGCGCAGGGTGCATGGAGGCACAGCCCACTCAACGCGCCCATCCCTGGGGAAGCCAGACATGGTCCCCCCATCCCCTCCTGAGCCAACAGCGCTGTCCAGGAGCACAGCAGAGCTGTGTGTCCACTGCGTGGGATGCCATGGGGTCCCCTTTGGAGGCACCTGCTCAGAATTCAGGGTCCGTGTTCCTGCCTGTGGTGTGGGGACTGTGGGTTTATGCAGCATCTCCTGCCTCGTCCAGCCTCCTCTCCCAGACCCCGGCTAAGGGAGACAAGTGCCCCCTGAGTCTACAGGTTCAAGTCCAAATTTCCTAAGGCAAGGCCCAGGGGCATTCCAAAACTGCCCGTTCAGGGTCGAGGAGTGACAGGGAAGAGAAAGCAGGGAGGAAGGAGGAAGGGAGAGGGCGGCAGGCGGGGAGGAGGGGGCAGAAGAGAGGACATGAGCTTGGGCGGCTTAGGGTGGAGCAGAAAGCCCTGTGGGGTGAGCCTGCCAGGTGTCTCACCGTCTGGAAGTGGGGGGCAGGGTCTGGGCAGGGTCCGAGTTCCAATTCGGAAAGGTGAGGGGTAGGGATGGATGCAGGGGCCCATCTCTTAAACTGTCTGAAGTTGCCCGCCAGGGGATTAAAGGGGTGCCCAGCCCAGGCCAAGCCCGGCTGTCAGCCCACTCCCGCCGAGGACCCCGCAGGTCCCCCTGCCTACGGCAGCTTGCACCGAGCGTTCCGAAGCTCCCCCTCCAAGCCCGCGGGTCCTCCCCCAGACGCTGGGACGGCTGCCCTAACGCGGCGACGCGTGCAGGGCGACCCGCGTCCCTGCGCCCGGCTCAGAGGCCACCCGACGCCCAGGCGGTGGTGACTCAGGCCGTGTGGGCCGCCAGGCGGCTGGGATAATGACAGGGCGGCCCCGGGGGCCGGCTGCGCCCGGGAGGCCCCTCGTCTCGCAGGGCCCGCAGAAAACAGGGCCATTGCAAAGCAGGGGCTCGTCGGCCGGGACCCTAAGCCCTGCGGCACGGCCGGCCCCAGGAGCCCAGCCGAGCGCCCTCGAGGTGGGTGGGGAGCAGCGGGGACACGGGCCACCCAATCCCGCCCCGGGGCCTCCCCGTCCCAGCAAGGCGCGGGAGCCCGGGACCTCGCACGGGCCGCTGTGGGGCAGCAGGGCAGCCCCAGGGGTGCTCGCCGCCAGCCCCGGGCCCGTCTCACCTCCTCACAGACACCCGCCGCCGGGGTCGCCTTCTGGGTTCAGCTCGTGCTCTGGGTCAGCTGACCCCGGGGGCCGCGCGGCTCCGCCTCCCGCGCCGCGCACTTGGCAGACGGTCCCTGGCGGTGCGGCGTCCGCGCCGCCGGCTTGCCCACGCTCCCTTAAACTGCCGCGTTGCTCCGCCCCCTCCGCACGGGGGGCGGGACCCGAGGGGGCGTAGCGCCCTGGCGCGCAGGCGCAGTCCTCATGCTGCGGGCAGGGTGTCGGGCCTTGGTGTCAGCCGCCGTGGGCTGCCCTGTCGTGGGCTGCGCCGGACTGTCCAGGAAGCTCGAACCGTGCACTGTCGTCATGTCCCGGCCGCTGCAGGCAGCCTCGGGAGCTCGGGCTCGGCCCGCCACGGTGCTGGGCACCATGGAGATGGGGCGCCGCATGGACGCCCCTGCCAGCGCCGCGGCCGTGAGCGCCTTCGTGCAGCGTGGCAACTGCGAGCTGGACACGGCCTTCATGTACGGCGATGGCCAGTCCGAGACCATCCTGGGCGGCATGGGGCTCGGGCTGGGCGGCAGCAGCTGCACAGGTAACCGTGGGCCCCGCTGAGCCCTGCGCCGCGGCCTGCGCCTCAGTGCCCTGCCCACCCCGGGAACCCCAGACGCGGCCCTGGGCTCTTGGTCCCCCGTGTCTTGCAGTTCCAGATAGGGGCGGCTACTTGGCTCCTGCCCGGTCACTACGCTGTAACTTTGTTCTGGAGGTATGGGGGTGTTAGGGTGGGGGGTGTTGAGGGGCTGGGGACAGGGCAGGACACCGAGCGAGCCCTAGAGGTGGCTGGTGATGGTAGCTTGTTGGAGGAGCCACTGGGGAAGGATGTTACAGGGGGAGGCCCCAGCCCTGCACAAACTCAGCTTGGAAATGTAAAGTGTGGCAGGTGGGGGGATGGCCGGCAGACAGGTGCAGCCGGGAGAAACAAGGCCAGAGGCCTGCCTTCACCCGGTGCGGTGGGAAGTCCCGTGTCCTGAGGCCGTTCTCTAGGGAGCTGTGCCCAGGCAGGTGGGCATGGGCAGCCTAGGCCTTGGGCGTGGGCAGCCTAGGCCTTGGTGGGCGTGGGCAGCCTAGGCCTTGGTGGGCGTGGGCAGCCTAGGCCTTGGTGGGCGTGGGCAGCCTAGGCCTTGGTGGGCGTGGGCAGCCTAGGCCTTGGTGGGCATGGGCAGCCTAGGCCTTGCCGTCCAGGGCCCCCAGCTGTGCCCCCTGCACACAGGGAGGGCATTTTTCTGCATTTTCAGGAGTGGATTTTTCTGCTCTGGTCTTTGCCCTGCCACCTTTGAGATGCTGCACTCTGATCAAAGTTCAGTCCTGAGCATGTCTCGAGTGGGGGAGAGCGGGAAGCACCGGAAAGCTTGTTTCCTCCGCCAACCTTCTGCGTGACCTGCTGACAGCCTCCGGTCCTTGGGGTGCACTTAAAAATATGTATTTATTTTATTTTTATTGGAAAGGCAGATTTACAGACAAAAGGAGAAAGAGAGAAAGATCTTTCGTCCACTGGTTCACACCGTAAGTGGCCACAATGGCTGGAGCTGAGCCAATCCAAAGCCAGGAGCTTCTTCAGGGTCACCTACATGGGTGCAGGGTCCCAAGGCTTTGGGCCATCTTCAGCTGCTTTCCCAGGCCACAAGCAGGGCGCTGGATGGGAAGTGGAGCTGCCAAGAGACAAACCGGTGTCCTCTGAGATCCTGGGGCGTGCAAGGTGAGGATTCAGCCACTAAGCCGTTGCCCAGGCCCTGGGTGCACTCTTGTTTGCTCTTCAGAGCAAGTAAGCAGTCCAGCTGGCCATGCAGCCTGCTGGCATTCTCCGCAGGGGAAGAGGCTGTGTTAAATGAACTCACCTCCAAGCTGCATGGAGAGTGGAATACAGTGGTGTGTGTGAGCCGTCCGAGAGCCAGGACTCACATCACTTCCTGCTCTGGGTGCTGTGGTCACCAGGGTTATCTGTCCGAGGTGATTCCAACAGCCTCCATGTTGTCGTGCCTTCTTCCAGCTGGCCCGCTACACCACAGCCAGACTCAGTGGAGACTCAATAGAGCTGCCAGTGCACTTCTCCACTCCCCGGGACCAGCCTCGTAGAAGTCCAGAAGAAGGGCCCTGGTGTGGTAGCCTAGTGGTTAAAGTCCTCGCCTTGTACGCACCAGGATCCCATATGGGTGCTGGTTCTAATCCCGGCAGCCCCGCTTCCCATCCAGCTCCCTGCTTGTGGCCTGGGAAAGTAGCTGAGGATAGCCCAAAGCCTTGGGACCCTGCACCTGTATGAGAGACCTAGAGGAGACTCCTGGCTCCTGGCTTTGGATCGGTGCAACTCCAGCCATTGCGGTCACATAGAGAGTGAATCATCAGATGGAAGGTCTTCCTCTCTGTCTCTCTCCTCCTGTCTATATATATCTGACTTTGTAATAAAAATAAGTAAATCTGAACGTTCTGAACACTGTGTTGCTTCATCTCTGTTCTCTCAGGCTCAATGCCCAAGGGCTGGCAGAGCCAGCAGTTTCGGGACCCGTGGGGTTCACTAACCAAGTTAACCCAGTATCCTCCCCTGTGGGAACAGGCATTCTTACTGTCACTCCCCATTTTACAGACTGGAGGATCGAGGCTCGGAGGATACAGGGTGTCCGTGTGGGTGGGTTGCTTGTGCGATTCTCTCTACTACTGCATTCTTCCTCCCCAGTGAAAATTGCCACCAAGGCCAACCCTTGGGATGGGAAGTCCCTGAAGCCTGAGAGTGTGCGGAACCAGCTGGAGACGTCGCTGCAGCGGCTGCAGTGTCCACGGGTGGACCTCTTCTATCTGCATGCACCTGACCATGACACCCCCATAGAAGAGACGCTGCGTGCCTGCCACCAGCTGCACCAGGAGGTGAGGGAGGCCCGGCCCCCGGGGCAGACTGTACCCCTCATCCTGCTGCCGCCAGGAGAGCCAAGGGAGGGACCAGGGCAGGCTAGCCAGGGGTGCCCCCTGGTCCTGTCCCCGTCCTGGCTTCCTGTCTTGCACAAGTTCTGAGCACAGCCTGTTCCCACAGGGCAAGTTCGTGCAGCTGGGTTTGTCTAACTATGCTTCCTGGGAGGTGGCTGAGATCTGCACCCTGTGCAGGAAGAACAGCTGGATCCAGCCTACTGTGTACCAGGTGAGGGCCAGGATCCCCTTGTCCTCAGACAAACCCTGGGCCCGCACAGCCCTGAGCAAAACCTGTAGCTGGCTCCCAGGGACCCTAAGCTTACCGTCCCAGCTCATTGCCTTCCTTCTCCATGTGGGTGTTCACATCAGCCTGACACGACTCCACTCAGTGCTTGTGGTTCACAGTGGGCATCTGTAAGCACACACACGCCCGTCACGGAACCTACTTAGCACTGTATCCTGTCACCTTGTCAAGTTTAAAGCTGACACTAACATCTCAGAGGCGCAGAGACCTTGTCAGTCTCCTCCTGGTGGTAGATCCAGCGTCTGGCACCTGATGGGTACCCACAGGTGTTTCTGGAAAGGTGACCCAGCCTGGTTTCACCTAGCTCTCCTCCAGCCCATCCCACAACCAGTGAGACTAGAAATACTGCTGTGGTCTTGGGTAGAGCATTTGAAACAAGAAGGGAGAGGTCCCTCTTCTGGCCACTGTCCCGCTGCACCCGGCACCTCTCCCCGCAGGGCATGTACAACGCCACCACCCGACAGGTGGAGAAGGAGCTGTTCCCCTGCCTCAGGCACTTTGGGTTGAAGTTCTACGCCTACAACCCCTTGGCAGGTACGCGCTGTACAGGACTCAGACTCTTCCTGGGCTCCTTGAGTGGGAGGGCAGGTCTGGCCCCATCCTTGCTGCTGCTGCTGCCCAAGCAATGCCCAGTCCAAACATGGGAAACAGAGGCCCTGAAAAGTGGTGGGGCCGCTGCCTCCTTCCATGCTAGGAGCCTCTGGGAGGATCCTGGGCTAGGGGTCTGATGGCAAGCTTCCTGCAGGCGGGCTGCTGACCGGCAAGTACCAATACGAGGACAAGGATGAAAAACAGCCCGAGGGCCGCTTCTTCGGGAATAATTGGGCTGAGGCCTACAGGAATCGGTGAGCTGTGCTGTCTGTGTCCAGATTGCGGGGGGTGTTCACCTGCTTTTAGGGTCCCTTCCCACCTGCACCTCCCTCTGTGAAACAATGAATTCCGAGGTTCCTTCTGCTTTCCTCAGGTCCTTTGTGAGGAATGGGCATCCCAGGACCACGTGACCTTCCAGGTCCTAGCTCTGTCCTGAGCAGTCAACTGCCAGGAAAGAAGTACAACTGGGACTAGAGGCTCAGGAGGCCTGGGCTCTGCCCTGTCCCAGCTCCCTTGTCTGTGCTCAGTCACAGGACAGTGGGTGTGGCTCTCAGGACCAGAGATGTCATCAGAGCCAATGGGGAAGGAGCCAGCGGCCTGGGGAGGCCCCTTTTTACAGCAGGTGTGGAGTGGGTCAGCTGCCTGTTTGGCTGTTTGGCTTGCCCTCCGGTATCATCCCATGGGTGTGACCCTGTGCCACTTTTCCTCTCTGCCCAGCTACTGGAAAGAGGAACACTTCAAGGGCATCGCCCTGGTGCAGAAGGCCCTGCAGGCTGCGTATGGCTCCAGCGCCCCCAGCTTGACCTCGGCCGCCATCCGCTGGATGTACCACCACTCCCAGCTGAAGGTAACCCCGCTGTCCTGGGCGTGCGACTCCTGTTCTTTTGGGGAGCCACACTTACTGTTAGAGGATTGCTTCTGCTGAAATCTCACTTTCTCCCAGTACCCATGAGTATCCATTCTGCTTTTATCTCTTCCCATCTAAGTGCCTTGGGTTGTTGTGGGTTTTTTTTTTTTTGAACTTTTGAATTTTATAGTACAGTTTTGTAGAGTCTGGGATTCCCCCACTCCAAAATCCCACTCCCTGACGGATTCTCCCCACGTTATAACTGTAAAGTCCTTCATAAGGAATCATGATTCCATCAGTCTGTTGTTTAAGTGTGCCCAGACAAGTGCCTTGGTTTTTGTTTTTCTTAAAGATTTATTTTATTTTGGGCCTGGTGTGGTAGCCTAGTTTCTAAAGTCCTCACCTTGCTTACCCTAGGACCCAATATGGGTGCCGCTTCATAACCCGACTGCTCAACTTCCCTTCCAGCTCGCTGCTTGTGGCCTAGGAAAGCAGTTGAGGACGGGCCAGAGCCTGGGGACCCTGCACCCACGTGGGAGACATGGAGGAAGCTCTTGGCTCCTGGTTTCTGGCTTTGGATTGGTTCAGCTCTGGCTGTTGTGGCCACTTGGGAAATGAACCAGCAGATGGAAGATCTTTCTCTCTGTATCTCCTTCTCTCTGTAAATCTGACTTTCCAATGAAAAGTAAATAAAATATATTTTTTAATTTTTATTTTTACTTGGAAGGCAGAGTTATAGAGAGTAGGAAAGACAGAGGTCTCTCTCCACTAGTTCACTCCCCAGATGGCCACAGCAGCCAGGAGAAAGAAGCCTCCTACGTGTCTCCACGTGGATGCAGAGACCTGAGGAGCTGTGCCATCCTCTGCTGCTTTCTCAGGCCATATGCAGGGAGCTGGATCATAAGTAGAGCAACTGAGACTTGAACCAGGTCCATATGGGATACCAACATTAACGGCAGAAGCCTAGTCTATATACCACAATGCCAATCCCACATAACGTGCCTTTAATCAGGGACACACAACTAGGAGTCTGTGTGACCCATTAGTCTTCTTGCTAGGAGCTAGGATTTCTCCATCTCGTCTTGGGAGCAACTTGCTGCCAGTTTCCACCTTGGGCCAGGGACAGAACAGTACCTTCTGTATTCAACAGTACTTCGAGTCTGAGTCCCATCAGAATGCTGGGGTGACATCCCAGAGGGGGTACCTGGCTGTGGCTTTCCACCTGTGCCCCATGCACGCCGGGCAGAGGCGGTGGTGATGGCTCAAGAGGCTGACTCCCTGCCACCTGCAGGGGAGGCCTGGAAGGAATTCTGGCTCCTGGCCTGCCCAGCTCCAGAAGGCTCATAGCAGCTTCTGGGAGTGAGCTAGCCTGCGGGAATCCTCTTCCTGTTTCTCAAATCATAATTTTAAAAGTTCATTAAAAATGGAATGAAAAGATAAGTTGATATAATAAGAGGATTTTAAAGTCATGCATATCAAGACCTTCCAAAGGTTCACAGAATAGGTGCTGTTCTCAACCATTTGTGCACTGACTTCAAAATTTTGTTGTGCCAAGTGAACATACTTTTTACAGCCAGTGTCCATGACCTCCTTGATTCCCCCTCATGTGTCATCAAGGCTCACTAGGGCACGCTGAGGGCTGTGTGTGATCTCTCACTCCCCTGACCACACTGAGAGTGGAGGACACGCAGACTCAGAGAGGGTAACTAGCTAAGCCATGTTTGCTCAGCAGCTGGGTGGCAGGACTGGGCTCTGGATGAAGGTCTGTGTGGGTGAGCAGGTGGTCCCAGGGACAAGGACACAGGCAGGGAGTGACAAAGCCACTGCTGCCCAGGCCCCTTGAGTCCTCTCTGGCCCATGGACCCAGAGCTGGGTGGGCAGCAGGACCAGGCAATGAGTGCTATGTGAACTGACGTGTGCTGTTCCCTTCAGGGCACTCACGGGGACGCAGTCATCTTGGGCATGTCCAGCCTGCAGCAGCTGGAGACGAACCTGGCGGCCGTGGAGGAGGGACCCCTGAAGTCAGAAGTCGTGGAGGCTTTTGACCAAGCCTGGAACCTGGTTGCCCATGAATGTCCCAACTACTTCCGCTAAGCCCCAGTGGCACATGTGTCCCAGCCTACGTGACACCCACTGAACCTCTCTGCCTTTCATTGACTGGGTATGGTCTCCGCAGGCTGTCTGGTCCCTGCCTGCTCCTCTAGACTGCCCTGCCTTGTGCCTTTACAGTGTGGGAGGCTGAGGCCGAGCCCCACACAGCAGGTCCTGTGGAATAAAGCTGCCCTGCCCTGGCTGCAGCTGGGCTCAGGTGAACCCACCAATGTGTCTGCTCTGCTGCTTGCAGCTTGTTTCCTGCCTGCCCTGGGCCGCTGATAGCTGGGCTGAGCAGAGCCTGGGTCTTCAAGGGCAGATGTTGGGAACGGTGTCCCCAGTCCTCATCCCAGTTCCTGCCTGAACTCCCAGCAGCTGAGAGGCACTCAGCCTCCTCACAGTGAGAAGGGGCCACCCCCCTGCCGCAGGTCAGCACTGCCTCTGACCCCCTCCCAGCGCTCAGCAGTGGGACCTTTGGGGGAGGTCATGCCCTGAGCACCAGCAGCAACAGCAGCTGTAAGTGCCGTCAGGAGGTCAGCCCCTTCTTCCTGTCCCATCTCACTGGTGGCTTTACTCCTCCATTGTCCCGGCCTCCTGCTCTTGGCGGCGGAGCACTGGCAGTCAGGTCCACACTGCCCTCAGTTGGTCCTACAAGGCTGTGCAGCAGAGTGCTGGGCCTGAGGTTGCTGTTGAGCCAACTCTGCAGGCCTGTGCGGGGCTGGGGCTTTCCAGGCAGGTTGAGGGCAGGCAGTGGACACTGCAGCACTTGGAGCTGTCTCTAGAAGTGATGCAGGGGCTCGCTCAGGAATCCAGACGCAAGCCAGGACTCAAAGCCTCCGATCTACCTAGAGTCCCATTTGTGGTCTACAGGGGCACACCACAACACCACATTCCCACCAGAGCTTTATTCTGTAATGGTAAAGGTTGCCCCCTCAGATGTTCCCCCGCAGCCCACACAAAGTGTGGTGACTGTCAGTTACTGTTGCCCAAGAGGCCACTGCCAGAGTGAGTGCACGTGGTGTCGGTCGCCCTAGGGATCCAACGACTCGAATGCAGTTCTCACCAACATCCCAGCTAGTTTCGTTGGCTTTACACTGAAATGAATCCTAAAAATCATATGGAAATTCAAGGGACCCAGAAGAGCCAAAATAATCTTGAAAAACCAAACCCAAGGCCTCACACTTCCTGATTTCCAGCTTACGGCACAGTGAGCGTCTGTCCCACCTTCACACCCCACTGGGGCGGCCACACCCCCTAACCGAGAACCCGCGGCGTGGAGTTCGGCTCTGTGCCCAGTTCCCTCTCCTGCCAGTGCACACTCCAGGAGACAGCTCGAGTGTTGGGAAGTTGGGGCCCTGCTTCCCACCTGGGAGAGTGAACTTGAATTAAGAAAATTCTAGCTTCTTCTGGCTTCAGCCTGGCCCGGCCCTGGCTGTTGGCAGCATCTGGGGAATAAAGTAGCAAAAACTTTCTCAAAAAGTGTTAAGGCACCTTTGAATACCAGGAAGGAAAAACGGCAGGCAAAATGTGAGGAAAATTTAAAAAAAATCATTTTCCTTCTGTTCAGCTTTTGGCATTCTATTCACGTTCTAGCAAAAACTGTAACGCTGTGACGTGGTTCTAAATGCATGTGGAGAAGAAATTTACGATTGTTCAGGAAGAGTTAAAAAGATGGTCTGTAAGGCTTGATAGTTTACTCAGTGAAACCATCAATAGACTGTTACATTATGTAAATAGAGGAATTAAAGCAGCCACTGTGGAGCTGGGAGAAAGAGATAAAAATCAGAACTATGTTTTTTTTCCAAGTTATTTTTTTATTATATTTTTGACAATCTTTACATAGTTAATTAGGGTAAAAAGGTTCAAAGGCTATAGGGAAGTGGGTTAGACTATTATTTCCATATTGTTTCCTTCATGTATCTGAGGGGTTTAGGGGGATATTGAGGGAGAAGCCCCACCGAGTTTCCCACCCACCCCAGGTCCCGGATGTGGGGCATGCTCTGAGATACTTGCTCAAGTGGCTCTGATAGTTCACCAGTTATAAATCTGCTGGGGTCCGTGCAGTGGGTGTGGATGGCACGAAGGTGTGACGAGAACAGCTCCCCTGTGTGGCAAGGCCTGGGGGAGTTTCCAGCTGTTAGGCAAGGCCCAGCGGATTTCTCTCTAACCACCTTGACACAGTTTCACCACATTTTTGCATGGACACTCAAGCACCCCACTAAGAATTCTGTAATCTATTGAGGCATTGTTTGCCCCTGTGGGATGGCTTTTATCACCAACGTGAGCTTGAGAGTTAATGTTATTGATAATGTCTTGGTGAGTGGGCCTTTAACTGTGCACAGGAGTACAATTAAACCCATGCCATTTCTGGACACCTTATTGTGTACCTACCCACTGCCCTGAAATCGGGCCCAGGCATATAGCACACCTTCTGGGAAGGGGCTTGAAAATATCCTAAATATTAATGCAAGTGATGGGAGTGAGAGCTGAAACTGCTATGGCAGTAAGTATAGTTATTGTTATCTCAAGGGTTAGCCTGTCTTTGCAATTTTTTTGGAACATAGAAAATGTAACTGTTTTAGCCGCTTTTATAATTTTTAGCTAGAGGAATTAAGGATGCTTTTATTAACAAAAAATGCTTTTGATTATTGTCTTATTGTTCATGGGGTTGTAGCAGTCTATAGTTGTAGGGGGATTTTAACATTTGAAGTTTCTGTTTTAGATTTTAAGTTTTTCCCTTGTAACCTATTTCCCCATTAAATAATAGGTAAATTGCAGAAATAAAAATGTGGTAGGAATATGCTACTGATTAGCAGGTAATCGCATGTGCCTTGGCCTTGGAGTCCTGGCTGTTGCTCCATGGCTACTGTTGAAGAATGAATAATAGCTTGCTTTGAAGAATATGAATACAGTATTTTGCAGAATTATCTTTCGGGGCACCTGCTTAGCCTTGAAGTGCAGACGGAGTGACCAAATGTCTGTACATGCCCCCTTAGTCTTGAAGTAAAAATAGAATAGTTGCTTGTGCAGAAGCTTGAGAAGGGTTTTGAGTAAATAAAAAGGACAGTTTTTTCTTGAGCTGTTGTGAGAATGCACCAAGTGTCTGTGTCTGTGTCTTTCTGTATCGCCGACTCCACGCACCCTTCCCGAGCTCCGAACTCAGCTGGAGCTGGACTCCGGCATAAATCGCTACCAGTCTCGCCACTTGGAGCACAGTGAGGTTGTTGAAGAATCCACTGATTGACACAGTCCATCAAAGAGTCTCCATTTGCCCAGTATTTCGCTGCCAACATATAGCTGAGGTGGTTGATTGACTTGTTCTGTCTTTTCTTGGTTAGGGTTCTGAGTCTGGCATTTCGATTGGGGAGATACCTAAAAAAACTTTGAGATGTTCTTAGACCAGATTCTTGTATGTACTAGCAAGTACAGGGCCCGGCACAGTCCATCGTCCTGATCAGTTGGTGGTTGCAATTGCTGGGTTAGTTTGTTTTCAGCCCCGACTTCCACTGGAACCAATGGGTGTTGCAGTCCAGCCTGGCAGAACTGTGTTTCACAACATAGGCTTCATCAACGACAAAAGCAACACTACGAGCCGCTCAGCTCAGTGCCCAGCGAGCCCGGGCCCTGGCACATAGCCAGCTCAGTGCCCAGTGAGCCCTGGCACGTAGCCAGCTCAGTGCCCAGCGAGCCCGGGCCCTGGCACGTAGCCAGCTCAGTGTCCTCTTCTTTACACGAGGAACTGATCCCTGTATCCTGCTCCATAACTCTGTCTTTGCAATAAATAAGTCTTTAAAACACATCACGTCCTCCTGTGGCTGCGTGTTGCGCTCGTGCTGGCTGCGTGTTCACGTCTCCCACAGCTTCACAGAGTTGGTTGTTGATTGTTGACAAGCGTTCTGCGATGACCTCAGGCCAGGGCTGCAGGCTCCTGTTCACCTGTGGCCTTGGCAGTTTCTTCTTTGCTCCATATGTTGGTGCTCTGAGGCCAGTTCTGTTTGCATTTAGTATCTCCTTTTTTTATTAAAAAAAAAAAAAGGTTTTGCTTTTTTATCCAATCAGAAAGTATCTTGAGAGCACTCTATCATTTATATTTAAGGTAATTATTGATAAGATTGGATTTGGATATATCTTGCTGTTTGTTTTCTATCTGTTCATTGGCCCTTTATTTCTTTAAAAAATAATAATGATTGCCTGCCTCCTTTTGCGTGACTTTTACGTCTAGCTTGCTTTGGTGGCTGAATGTTTTTTGGTTCTTGTTCTTGTATTTTCAGTGGTTGAAAACTTGTTCCATTGTGGGGGATAACCCTACTGCAGTTGCCACCAAATGGGCGCCAGTTCGAATCCCGGCAGCTCCACTTCCCATCCAGCTCCCTGCCTGTGGCCTGGGAAAACAGTCGAGGACGGCCCAGAGCCTTGGGACCCTGCAACCGCGTGGGAGACCCTGAAGAAGCTCCTGGCTCCTGGCTTCAGATCGGCTCAACTCCAGCTGTTGCCGTCACTTGAGGAGTGAATCATTGGATGGAAGATCTTCCTCTCTGTTTCTCCTCCTTTCTGTATATCTGACTTTGCAATAAAATAAATATTTTTTAACAATTTAAATTTTACTTTGTTTTCATCCCTTTTTTGCTGTTTTGATTTTTTTTTTTTTAAGATTTATTCATCTTCCATCTGTTCATTCACTCCCCAGATGGCCACAGTGACTAGCGCTGAGTCAGGCTGAAGTCAATCCCAGGAGCTTCTTCCTGGTCTCCCATGTGGGTTCATGGACCCAGGACACTGCTTTCTTAGGGACATTAGTAGGGAGCTGGATCGGAAGTGCAGCAGCCAGGAGTGAACCGAGGCTTATCTGGGAGGCCAGGGTTGGGCGCAGCAGCTCCACTGTCTGGCTCCTGTCCAGGGTTTTCTTGCAGAAATTGTTACATAAGAGGATTCAGACATGTCCGACTTTGTTCAGCTGTTGACCTGCATCCAAGCCTTGTACCTCTCAGCAGTTAGCTCACTTCGCTAAAGGCACCTCAGTATGCATCGCTCTGGTGGATCCAAGCAACACTTGGTCCGTTCCCATCCATTAGCGCTCACAAGGGACCGTAACGGCCTGCTCATAGGGGGCAGTGGGCTTGCCTTTCACGTGGGCAAACGGCTAGGAATGAGATAAATGTGGTGTGAACAGTGTAAACTCAGAGAATGGAATTCTGTAATGAAGAGGAAAGTTTGGCCCTGGGGTGTAGCACGAGTTTCCACCAGTTTCCCGAACACTTGAAACAGTCCCTGTGCAGAGGACGGGTGTGGAACCTTCGGCAGCCTCAGCCTCCGGCGGGGAGGTGGGGAGGCCACACGGCAGGTGCACGACGCTCCGGGTCACCTGCCCACTCCAAGGGATAGGTCCTAAAGCCCACCCCAGTCCATCTGTGGGGTCCACACGCGGGAAGCCACGGCTATGCTGACAGAGAGCGGGAGTGGACACCACAGTCAACGCGAGGGAGAAGCACAAATGACGGACACACGCTCGCGCGTCCCCCAAACCGGACCCTTCCATCACCTACCGACCACACCGCGGCGCGCCCCGCCCACCACTCTAGGCCCCGCCCACGCCGGCGGCGCACCCCGCCCACATCTGCTGCGCTCATCCCCACCCTGGTTGGCCCCGCCCAGGCCTGAGGAACGTTCCGCCCAATATTCTGCCCCCTGCCTGCCCCGACGGGGCGCCCCGCCCACTACCGCCCAACGGCCACGCCCACCACTCTGCGCCCCGCCCACCACTCTGCGCCCCGCCCACACCTGCCGCGCTAATTCCCCCCCCCCCCCCCCGGATTCGCCCTGCCCACGACAGTGGAACGCTCCGCCTGCCACCCAACTTCGTTCCGCCCCTCTCCCATCCTTATACCGCGGTGCGACACGCCCACACCCGCTCAGGGCTCGCCCCGCCCACCAAACTGCGCCCCGCCCCGCACTCGCCCCACCTACCACTCTGCGCTGGCCACGCCCCGCGGAGCGCCCCGCCCCGCACTCGCCACGCCCCTCCCACACTTTGCTCGCCCCGCCCACTGCTTCCTTCCGCCCTGGAAGGACTATGCCTGGACTTTCAGAACTTGTGGTCGCCGACAACTTGCAGCTGCATTGCAGAGGTCCCAGAATCCACAGCCTCCGCCACCATGTCCTGTCCGATGCCGCAGCGCCAACCCGCCACCATACTGGGCGCTATGGAGATGGGACAACGCCTGGATGCCCCTGCCAGCGCCGCGTTGGTGCACGCCTTCCTGGATCGCGGCCACAAGGAGATCGACACGGCTTTCATCTACACTGACGGCCAGTCTGAGACCATTCTGGGCGGCCTGGGGCTCGGGCTGGGCAGCGGCGACTGCAAAGGTAACTGTGACCCTGAGCCATGAGCCGTGCACTGCTGATGCTGTCTAGGAACCTGAGCCAGCCATGCACTGACCACAGCGGGTGCTGACCACCCTGCACCAGCTGCTCTGGGAAACCCAGGTTGATTCTGCCCAGATGCATAGAGGGTCCTTGTCCTCACTTCCTTCCCTCACTTCCTCCCAGGATCCACTACCCAGTGTCATTTTAGCCCGGTCTATCCTGGAACTCTTAGGCTAAGCCTCCTGAGGGGGGCACTGAATACCCAGGAACCTGGCACAGGCTGCCTCTCCTCCAGACACCCCAGGTGACCCTCAACCCAGGCCTACTGGACCCTGCCCTTCACACCCTGGCATGATTGCTGCAATACCATCATAATTGATACATAGTACAGATCTGCTTCCTCCCTGGCCCACACTGCCCCCTCTGCAGGGCTCAACTTTGCTCCCAAACACACTGTTGGGTCGGCAGTGCCATGAACATCTTGGAGCCATGGTGGCCCCTGCACAGCATGGGGTGGGGGCAGTGTCTGGTGCCTCTCCTGCCAGTGTCAGTCTGAAGCTACAGGTTGCAAATCCCTCCTCCAGCTCAGCACTGAGCATGCCCAGCAGGGAACTTGTCCCAGGGAGGCATGAAGAAGGCTGGTCAGAGAAGGGAACGCTGTTCTTCCAGAGGGTAGAAGGTAGCGGTGGGAGTGCTAGGGAAGAGGGGCTGCAGGCTGGGCTGGGGTGTGCCATGGCTTGAGACTGGTGGAGCCATGGGTGACTTAGGGGTCCTGGGTGAAGTGGTGAGTACTCCCCACCAAGATGAGAGGCTGTGGGAGGGGCTGGAGCCCTGCCTGGCAGGTCACATAGGGGCCTCATGAGGGGCAGGTGGAAATACTCCTCCTGGGAGGGGCTAGATCCACCTGGCAGGTGCAGTGAGAACTCAGCAGTGTCAGCAATGTCAATGTTGTGTGTTGGCACCTTAACCTCCTTCCCTGGAGAGGCATGGCCGGGTGGAGTCTTACCCCTAATCCCACTGCTCTGAGGCACCTGCATCTCAGGGGACCCTCCCTCTACACACCCTGCCTGCCTCCCAGGACAACTCACATCTGGTCCCTATTGTTGCTGCTGATTCTTTTCCTAAAGTTGCTGGTGTCCTAATCAAATCCTTCTGCCCCCTCCTTGAGGCTGGGTCACTGGGCCACAGTCGTCTTGGTTAGATCCAGAAAGAGTGGAGGATGATGGAGGAATGGAAATGTCCCCAGTGAGTGTCACCAAACCTCCTCTCTTCCAGGTCAGAGGTCCCCATGCCCAGTGCTCCTGCCCCTGGCCTCTGCCTGGACCCCAGCTCTGGAGTGAGCTTCCTCCAGTTCCTAGGCAGCAGCCTTTGCCTTCCCTGTGGACTCTGGGAGTCAGACTCCAAGGAAGCTCCTGAGGTCCCATGTGGCCTTGTCCCCCTGTGCCCTGGGCTCCCTGAGCATCTTGTGCCTTGCCCTGCTTCCTAAACTCTCAGCAGGTGCTCATCCCTCGGCACCTCGTGACAGGTGCAGCCTGTTCCTCAGCCATGGTGCAGGTGAAAGGACTGAGGCTCAGAGAGACCTGGGAACCTTCTGCAGGACCCAGAGCTATGAGGGCAGAGCTGAGGACAGTCAGCTGTGTCTCTGCACTGTTGCACTGGACCCAGGACAGTGTGTGACAATTTACTCTGACCTCCATGTCTGATGTCTTGTAGTTAAAATTGCCACCAAGGCCCTTCCAATGGATGGAAGGACCCTGAAGCCTGACAGTGTGCGGTATCAGCTGGAGACTTCGCTGAAGCGGCTGCAGTGTCCAAGGGTGGACATCTTCTACCTGCACATGCCTGACCACAACACCCCCATAGAAGAGACGCTGCGTGCCTGCCATGAGCTGCACAAGGAGGTGAGAGTGACATTGCCCCCAGGAGCAGACTGCCCCACTTCATCCTGAACCCTGGGATAATGCAGCCAAGAGGACAGTCCCTGAGATTTTCTGGGGATATGATCTCACCCTGTGTGTCCCCCTCCTGGTCCCCTGTGCAGCTCTGGATTCTAAGCAGAGCCTCTCCCCACAGGGCAAGTTTGTGGAGCTGGGTGTCTCCAACTATCCTGCCTGGCAGGTGGCCGAGATCTGCACCCTGTGCAAGAAGAATGGCTGGATCCAGCCCACTGTGTACCAGGTGAGGGCTGGCTACAGGGCTGTGCTGAGCTAAGATGTCTGTGCAGAATGAGGTATTTTGCTCAGACAGGGTACTTTGGCTCCCGTTCTGTGGCTGGTTCCTCTCTCCACAGGGCATGTACAATGCCATCACCCGGATGGTGGAGAAGGAGCTGTTCCCCTGTCTCAGGCACTTTGGATTGAGGTTCTATGCCTTCAACCCTTTGGCCGGTACGTGGTGCCCTGGACACAGGGAACCCTCAGTCAGGGAGCAGCAGCCTCGCCCATCTCTGCTGCTGCTGCCCAAGGGATGACTTGGAGCAAGTCAAGGATGCAGCTGCTACATCCCTTTATGCTCTGGGCCTCCCCACCTGAGGGGTCTGGTGGTCTCCGGGAGAGTCTTGAGCCATGGGTCTGATGGCACCTTCCTGCAGGGGGACTGCTGACTGGCAGATACAAGTACGAGGACAAGGAGAAAGAGCCCGAGGGCCGCTTCTTTGGGAGTAAATGGTCTGAGGTCCTCAGGAATCGGTGAGCTGGGGGGGGGGGGGTTCAATGTGGATGGGGGCGTTTGGGGGTGGGCAGGAAGGTTCCCTCTAGCTAAAGTACAGTATTGAGGCTCCTTGAGGAGAAGACTGCCTGCCACCTGCATTACTGTTTTTCTTGTGGTGTCCAAAAATGTGCATCCCAGGACCACGTGGTCCTCTAAGTCCTAGCTCTGTCCTGAGCAGTCAGCGGCCAGTCAGGAAGGAGAACTGTGGTTGGGGCTCAGGAAGCCTGGGCCATGCCCCACCCAGTCTCAGGTCCCTTGACTGCACTTGGTCACATGGGGGCAGGTGCTTGACTCTCAGGTCCAGAGTTGTCTTTGGGGCCTCTGGGTGGGAGCCAGCAGCCTGGGGAGGACCCTCTATGCAGCAGGTGTGCACTGGGTTGGCTGCCTTGGTTGTTTGGATGAGTCCTCAAGTGTCACCCTCATGAGTGTGTCCCTGTGTCCCTGGCCCCACCTGCCCAGCTACTGGAAGGAGTGTCACTTCAAAGGCATCGCCCTGGTGCAGAAGGCCCTGCAGGCTGCGTATGGCTCCAGCGCCCCCAGCATGATCTCAGCTGCTTTCCGCTGGATGTACCACCACTCCCAGCTGAAGGTAACCCAGTGCTCACTTCAGCAGCACATACCCTAAAATTGAAGGTAACCCTGCTGGGCAGAGCATGCAGTATCTGCTCCTTTATGGGAGCCCAAAAGGGGTGGCTAGAAAGGCTGTCATACCTCCTGATGAAATTTCATTTTTTCATTCTGTTATTTTGAGTTATTTCCAGTGCACTTTCTTACATAAATGCTGAGTTTTGTGCTAAGGGCTCCCAAACATGAAGCTAAATAGGACTTAGACCTTATGCACCTGCTTTTCCAGGTTGTTGCTGACAGATATTATCAGGATTGCAATGTTAGCTGCAAGCCCCATCCATCTCACTCCTCTGTTGGGAGCTGGGATTGGTGTCTCTCCTGTCATTCTTACTGGGGAGACATGCCCTGTGTTCCTGGGGCTTGGCTCCCAACCCTGCCCAGCCTGGGCTGCTGCAGGCTTTAGGAGAGTGAACCAATGGACAAAAGTCATCCCCCACCAGTCTGTTCCTTTGACTCTTGATCTCTCAAATAAAATAATTACAAAAATGCTTGTGCAGAGTGCAATTAAAGATATATCTACTTGATTCATACAAAATCTGAAAGTCATAAATAGCATGAGTTTTCAAGCATTTAATGGATGTGTATTAGGAACATCTATGCATGGATTTTAAAATTTGATTGTACCAAGTGAACATGTATTCCACTTCCTTTGATTCCCCCTCATGTGTCATCAAGGCTCACTAGGGCACGCTGAGGGCTGTGTGTGATCTCTCACTCCCCTGACCACACTGAGAGTGGAGGACACGCAGGCTCAGAGAGGGTAACTAGCTAAGCCACGTTTGTTCAGCTGCTGGGTGGCAGGACTGGGCTCTGGACGAAGGTCTATGTGGGTGAGTAGGTAGTCCCAGGGACAAGGACACAGGCAGGGAGTGACAAAGTCACAGCTGCCCAGACCCCTGGGGTCCTCTCTGGCCCATGGACCCTGAGCTGGGCAGGCAGGAGGGCTGGGCAGTGAATGTGACTACAGCCCCTGTGCTGCGTGAGCTGACATGTGCTGTTCCCTGCATGGCACCCACAGGGATGCGGTCATCCTGGGCGCGTCCAGCCTGCAGCAGCTGGAGACGAACCTGGTGGCCGTGGAGGAGGGGCCCCTGAAGTCAGAAGTCGTGGAGGCTTTTGACCAAGCCTGGAACCTGGTTGCCCATGAATGTCCCAACTACTTCCGCTAAGCCCCAGTGGCACATGTGTCCCGGCCTACGTGACACCCACTGAACCTCTCTGCCTTTCATTGACTGGGTATGGTCTCCGCAGGCTGTCTGGTCCCTGCCTGCTCCTCTAGACTGCCCTGCCTTGTGCCTTTACAGTGTGGGAGGCTGAGGCCGAGCCCCACACAGCACGTCCTGTGGAATAAAGCTGCCCTGCCCTGGCTGCAGCTGGGCTCGGGTGAACCCACCAATGTGTCTGCTCTGCTGCTTGCAGCTTGTTCCCTGCCTGCCCTGGGCCGCTGATAGCTGGGCTGAGCAGAGCCTGGGTCTTCAAGGGCAGATGTCAGGGAGGGTGTCACTGGGGTCTCCCCAGTCCTCATCCCAGTTCCTGCCTGAACTCCCAGCAGCTGAGAGGCACTCAGCCTCCTCACAGTGAGAAGGGGCCAACCCCCTGCCGCAGGTCAGCGCTGCCTCTGACCCCCTCCCAGCGCTCAGCAGTGGGACCTTTGGGGGAGGTCATGCCATGAGCACCAGCAGCAACAGCAGCTGTAAGTGCCGTCAGGAGGTCAGCCCCTTCTTTCTGTCCCCATCTCACTGGTGGCTTTACTCTGCCATGGTCCCAGCCTCCTGCTCTTTGTGGCGGAGCACAGGCAGCCAGGTCCACACTGCCCTCAGTTGGTCTTAGGAGGCAGCAGAATCCTCAGTTGGTCAATCCTCATGTGGTTAAACATGCAGGCCGGGGGCTTTCCAGGCAGTGAGCGCTGCCCACGCTTGGAGCCTCTCTCTTTTTTTTCCTCTTTGGTGAAATTTTCGGGAAATCTGTGTTTCCTTGTTGTTGTTGTTTGTCTTTATCTCTAATTTGTTTTCATTGAGAGGAATGCATGCCCATGTGTGCCTCTGATTACAGTGGGAAGGACACCTATTTCAGTGTTTTTTTTTTTGTCCCGTTTCCACTTCGAAGGAAGGGAAGAGGGCTGCTCCTTGCTACAAACTACTTGAGTACTGGGGAAGGGGTCAGTCCTTGATGATGACCTTGAGACCTGAATGAGGGTGTTATTTGAGTGGTCTTGATAGCCCCAAGATATTATTGATTTCTTTGCTCTAGGGTTGAGAAAAATCTTTTCAAAGTCTACTTGTTGATAAAATCTACACTAATGCTCCCACAGATCCAGAAACATGCAGCCAAGCTTGGCCAAGAGAGTTTTCCAACCTGTTCTGCTTTCTGTCCTCATCTAATGAGGCAGTTGACATATCCTGTTGGCCTAGATGAGTTGGCTGTCATGTTCCCTGTGTGCGTCTGGACATGCAGTCCACTGCACAGGTAGCAGCCACTGAGAAGGCCCAGTTCTGATGCATGCACTCCAAGGTTAGATTACATATCCTGTGATTTTCTTTGTGGCTGGGGTCTGAGTCGAGTCCAGTTGGCGAGTCCTCAAGAAAAGTCCTTGGGGTGCCCTCAGACTTGACTCTTAACACCAGTCAGTACAGGGTGAAGAGATTTGTTACTTGTATCAGTCAATGCATATATCAGTGGATGCAGCTGTCTGGTCAGGTCCATTCCAACCCCATATGTCATATGAACCACTGATAGGCACTATGGCCCAGTCCACCACAGACCCAGTCCTTATGTACACTAGAGGGTGCCGCAGTGTAGTGGAGGCAACTCCCATAACCTTCACCAGGCCCACCTCAGCCCCGGTTTTTGCACATGTCAGACTTTCCTGTGGCTTAGCCCAGACTCACCTGTCTTCTATTTGGCTTGTGTGCGCATCTACAGGTACTGTGGCTTAGTTCAGCCAACACATTTGCACACCTGACTCTCTCATATGCCAACAGCGGCCAATACTTTGTCCAGTCTGACTCGTCCCCGGCCCTAGTTCTTGTGCTCACTAGCAATAGGGACAGCCTGGCAAGAAGTGCCCACAGATTCCCTGCCAGGCATGTTCCCAGCTCTGGATCTTATACCTGCCTACCTGGGGGAACTACAGTCCAACCTGACATGAATTCACCCAGTCCAACCACTGGCCACTTGCTGCTGTGGCCTAGCTTGGCTTGCCTGTATCCATTCTGGCTCTCACATAGGTCAGCAGGTACAGCAGCCCAGCCAAGCCTGGCCCATCCCAGACACAGCTCTCATGCTCACTAGTGGAAGCAGCAGCCCAGCAAGGGAGTCCCCAGATTTTCCCTACCAGGTCTGCTCCCAGCCCTGGGTCTTGCACATGCCAGCAGGTGCTGTAGTCTAGTCTGAGATGGCCCACCCCCAGTCTTACCATTTGCCAACAGGTGCTACAGCCTGGCCTAGCACAGCCTGCCTCCAGTCGCAGCTCTCTCTGGTGGCAGGTACAACAGTCTAGCCCAACCTGTCCCACCACCAGCCCTCATGTGAACTGACAGGTGTTGTGGTCCAACCCGGCCTGGCCTGCACTCTGTCTTGATTCTCACTTGTGCCAGTGTGTGCTGTGAACTGACCCTGCCCTGCCAACACACATGTGCCAACAGGTGCTACAACCCAGCCTGTTATAGTCTCTTCCCAGCTTCGGCTCTCACACTTACCAGTAGGAACTACGGCTAACAAGGGAGTTCCCTGTGTTCGTCTGTCCCAATTGAGCCATCAGGTGCTGCAGCCCAGCCTGTCTAGCCTGGAGCCTCTCTTGAAGTAATGCTAGTGCCTACTCAGGAATCCAGACTGATTATGAGTTGAAGAGGGTGTCTCGGCTTAAAAAAATCCCATGTGGTCTATAGAGGGAGGCATCTTGCAGGCTAAATTTCTTCTTTGTTAGGACTGCTATTTGGCAATGCAGATAAAGCTGCTGCCTGTGTCCCTGCCATCGCATATGGGTGCCAGTGTAAGTCCCTGCTGCTCCACTTCTGATCCAGCTCGCTGCTAATGTGCCTTGGAAAGAAGTGGAGCATGAATCAAATGCTTGAGCCCCTTAATGCATGCATGAGATCCAGATGAAACTTCTGGCTACTGGCCTCAGACTGGTCAGTTCCAGCCTTTTTGGAAGTTGAACTAACAGATGGAAGACTCTTCTTTCTCTAACTCTGCCTTTCAAATAAATTCTATTTGAAATTTATTCCTTTTTATGGGAAGACATAAAATGGTCTGTCTGTATCTGTGGTGAACAGAGGTGCCCCAGGACAGTGGAGTGCCATGGCTGCTGCCCTTCAAGGTCCCACAGCTGAGTGCTGAACATGAGGAAGTTCCCCAAATTCATCTACAGATACCATGCATCATTTATCTGAATCCAGGCTGACTTCTGTTACGGAAATTACACAACCAGCTGGTTAAAACTCACATGGAAATTCCAGGGTCTTGGAATAGGCAAAAATGATACTGAAAAAAGTGGGAGGACTCATCTTTCCTGACTTGAGACTGACTGCAGAGCTACAGCAGGAGACAGTGTGGAATGCCTGTAGGATAGACACGAGTCAGAGAACTAGAGCTGTGAGTTCTGAAATGCCCGTGCCCGGGGACTGCGAGTGGGTTTGAGAGAAGTGGGGAGGGAATCGTCCTCAGCCTGGGGTTCTGGGATGACCAGTGTCCTCAGGCAAATGTCTGAGCTTGCATACTTGGCTCATGCCAATACCCCAGATCAACTGCACATGGAAGAACCCCAAGTGTCAAGGCTACATCCTGAAACTCTTAGGGGAAAACATAACAATGAGTCTTCATGATCTAGGGCCAAGCAGGGATTTCTTAGATAAGATACAGAAACCCATTTAAAAAGGAAAAAAAGCATAATAAATTAGACATTAAGCAGACATTTAGACCCAAGGTTTTATAGTGACAGCTAATGGATTGATAGTAATGATTTATGGATGGAAGTTGAGTCTTGATTCATTGTGATATTGGGGTGGCAGGCCTAGTGGGAGTGTGTCCTCACACTGAGGCGAGTCCCCGGGAGGCCCTTCTCTAAGAGGCTTGGATATGTACCAGAGTTCAGCCCAGCTCTTCTTTCTGTTTCCTTTTTGCCAAGGACCCCCAGTCTGCATGTGCTCCCCCATCCTCCACCCTCCATGCACATGACCTCATCAGGGCTACTTGATCTTGGACAATGAACTTGCAAAATCATGAATGGTGATACATTTTTTCCCTTCATCAGGAGCTTCTTTTGGCTTTCACAGATCAAGTAACAAGACATTGACACATGGAACCATCAGGGTAGAATGGGAAAAAATATTTGCAAATTACGTATCAGCAAAGAGCTCTTGCCGTATCCCAGACATATGCTCTTATCACTTGATAAAACAGACACACAACTGAACAATGGACTGGGCAGAGGACAGGAATAGACAAGTCTCCAAGAAGATATACCCCCAGCTGTAGGCAACTGCCTAGGTCGCCTTGTACCTAGGCAAATGTTACACTGTTGGGAGAAAAGCAGCCAATAGGTGGCAGGCATTCTGGCCCTGGTTAATATCAAAGTTGGGTCAACTATACTAGTATGCCAGCATAGTTAATTTTTTTTAATAGGTTAGCAGGGAAGGTAGGGAACTCAAGGCCAGGACATGTCACCCTGGACCCCAGGTCAAGGGGCTACACATGGCCCCAGGAGGGAGTCTGTGGATGTACTAGAGTGGGAAAGGCTGAGGGCATGTTTGACAGGGAAGGAATAATTTCTGGACTCTTCCACAGACCAAGCTACTGTAGTCACAGGTAAACAAGGGGGCTGAGGACAGGTAGTTTGGAGGGGGAGAAACTGGAGGGCATGTCTGGGTCAGGCCAGACACCCACCCATGTGGGAGACCTGGGCTGGGCAAAACAGCATCACCCACCACCCACCACCCACTGGCACTCACACAAGCTATTGCTAGGGGAGCATGCCTGGCTGTACCAACCCGTGAGTATCAGAGCAGGGGTTGGATCATGTTAGGCTGGACTACAGCACCTGTCAGAATCGGAGAGAATCGGATCTGGGGGCAGATTCTGTAGGGGAGTTGGGGGCTCACTTCTGTGGGACTGAATCACCTGCTGGTTTAATGGAGAGCTGGAGGTGGTGACTGCCCAAGCCAGGCTAGATCACAGAACTTACCTCACAGGAGCCCACCTGATGCTTGCAGAGGCCAGGGCTGAGAGAAGGCTAGGTGGGACCAGACTGCAACATCACTGGTGCATGCAAAGGCCAGTACTGAGGGCAGATGTGAGATCTAGGGCTGGGAATAGGCCTGATAGGGAAACTAGGGAAACTCACTTACTAGTTTGCAGCTCTCTCTGGGGAGCATGGAAACTGGGACTCAGAGTGG